GAATTCCCCGGATTTGTGCAATACCTGTTTTGGTTTTTGTGGTACAAGTCCTTCGCGCAGGTCAACACTTGTACTTGAGCACCTGAATTTCCTGCCTACCTAAAACCGTGGTTTGTACAACGCCTCGTGGCCTTTTTGGGGTCCCTCGTGTGCATTTTCCTGGCCACGAGGATTTGCTGAGTTAAGTGGTTATAAGTCCTGCTAAGTGGTTAGCTGCGAGGATTCCGCTAAGTGACTGTAAATGGTTGTAACCTTTGTTATAAACCTTGTAAACGCAAAAAGCGCCAAAGTGAAAACAATCCTGAATGGGAAGAGATGGAAGAGGTGTTGGTTTCCATGGACGTGGACGGTTGGGAGATCTATGTGAAGGAGACCCGACCCAAAGGGCAACGGCTTCCCAACAAAGTTGACCCCGCACGTGCACAAGTCGCGCAGGCTCCTACAGTGCAGGATGATGCCACTGTGGCCTCATCGAACTGGCAGCTTTTGGAGTCCGTGGACGCTGCACTGCCGGGGGAACCCGAGCACTTTGAACCACATGAGATCAAAGAGCCGGAGATGGATGGTGAGCTCATTGACGCCATCCTCAAGCCCTTTTTGGATCGGTTGCCTGGTGTTTCCGACGAGCGTGACATTGACGAGCCGGACGCTGACGAGGAGATTGTCTTCAGAGAACCCATTGTCGGCGGCTCAGCATCAATGTTTAGCCAGCGGAAGCTGCGCTCCCATCTGATGAACAAGATCCATGCTGTGGACTTCAAGTTGGATGGTTCTGGCGTAGTGAACATCTTGGACACCGACGTCACACGTGACCCTGCCAAGCTCGAACTTCGGCAGGAATCCATGCAGCAGACCGAAGATGGTGCAGTCATCATTCGTCGCTTTGACTTGACGGATGAGGAGAAGCATCGTCAGATGGAAAGGGAGATCTTTGAGGAGCCCAAAACCGCCGAAGAGAAGCTTCGCGCGGGTGACCCTGCTGCCACTGTCCAGATCATGTCGAAGGCCAAGTCGAAGGCGGCTTCCTCATCCGAAGCGGCATCATCTTCGGCCGGCATCGCACAGGTGATCGGGGACACTGTCAGCCAGTTCATCAAACCCAAGATGAGGGATCAGGCTACCATGATTCAGCCCAAGCCTGCTCCGCGGCTCCCAAAGGTTTCAACGGCGACGGGAACGTCTCCTATGGCGTCCCCAAAGCCCAGTCCGCCACCGACTCCGAAGAGTGCAACTGGATCCCCCAAGCCGGAGCCACCTGCACTCCCAGCGGAAGCTGCGGACCATCCTATGCCCAAAGCTTTGCCTTTTAAGGCGCCGCCTGCAACGTTGACAACAACTTCACCCAGGGCACCTCCGCAGAAGTCATCGGCGCCTGCAGCTGCGTCTTCGTCGGAGCCTGCCCCGAAGATGGCCAAGAAGGAGCCGCCTATGGCAAGTGCTCCTCCCCCGGGAACGGGTGGACCTCAGCCTCCGGCTGATCCGCCCTTGCGACCACAGGGATATCCCAAGTGGTACTTTTTCTCCCCGGGAACGGGCGAGCGCAGGGAATTCACCGTCCGGTGTACTGACCTGCCAGGCCTGAGGGACCTTGGAAGACTCAGTCATGACGATTTCAAGTTTTCGAAGAGGGTGACCGGGCTGCTTCGAGGCTATGACCACAAGTTCCTCGAGGCGCACCACCGCCACATTCCTCCTGAATTTGATGAGGAACTGTACTTGAACTTTGAGTCCATGTACGCGTACCTCCGAAAGCGGCATCGTGCTCAGCTTTCGCGACAGGACCTGTACCTGATTCTTCGAACTCAGGACAGGTTCATGTGCCGCATTCAGGCTGGAATTGTCGGGGAACTGACAACCATGGACATGCCATATCGCATCACGCATGTGAAGGCGTGCCAAGGTCACGACCAGTCCCTCATCGACAAGGTGGGAACGGCTCCATTGGTCAAGCAAATCATCTCGCTTGACTACCAGTTCACGGTTGAGGACTTGAAGAAGGGATTCTATCCAAGGGTCCCCATTTATCCTCACCTGGCGGAAGCCGAGGTCTCAGAAGAGTTTAAGGTTATTTACCATTACACTTCATGGGACTCCCTCCAGCAGATCATTTGCACGGGGATTTTTCCGGGGGCCACTTCATGCAAGGGTCATGTGTATATGACCCGCCATGCGCCTTGGGAAATCGAAGGCAAGGATCCTGGTGTCAGGACGAACCGACCGCTGTGCATCGCGATCGACACCGATTGTGCTTTGCACTATGGTCTTCGCCTGGTGGAAACCTTGGCCGGTGCACTCATCACTGAGGACTGGGTGCCCAATCATTGCCTCATCTACGCATTCGATTGCGAGAAGTCGCAATACCTTTGGGCGAACCATGGCTACAACGGGGTGAAGAAATACCTTCGGCAGAAGGCCTCCGAGAACGCTCTCACTTGGCAGGAGAACGAGGCTCGGAAGGGCACTCCCAACTACGACGAACTTGAGAGGTACGAGATTTCGGACCTGGAGGTGTTGAAGAACATGTTCGTGAATGAGTACGATCAGTGGAAGGATGTCATCACTCTGCGACGTCCGCTCATTTACAAGGAAGTTCCGACACCATATCCTGTCGTCGATGAGTTGCTGCCCAAGTTCAAGCAAAGGCCGCTCAACTTCACCAATCTCCTCTGTGTGGCACGCAAGCCGACGGCAACAGCTGCTGGCTTCGACATCGCCCCTGACAACGCGCGGGAACGCCGTTCTGATCGCTTCGATCAGGAGGCATTTGACCCATCCGCGGAGGGGAACCTCACGCGCTGGCGGTATGTTTCAATGCTGGCAATGCCGGAGTTGACATGCCCCCGGTGCAGAAAGATCTTTCCTGAGGGGATGTTGGTGTGCCTCGCATGCGGCTTATCGCTGGCGACAATGTCTGACATGCGTCGTGCATGTCAGGTCTTCCGCCTGGAAGAATTGGCCGAGAAGCTCGGGTTCGAGCTTACTTTGGACCTTCTGGGCGACGACGACGTGGCCGGCACCACCCAAGGTGCCAAGCAGATCAGATCTGCTGCTGCTGTCCTCAAGAATCACGCCCGCTCATACATGAAGCAGGCGAGAAAAGCGGGCCTGACTTTGTTGCAGCGTCTGGGAACGGACGCCCATTACGCCTTTAATTGTGCGGTCCAAGACCTTACACCTCGGTGTATGCATTGGATTACAGTTCTGGGCAATGTGGTGCTTCCCTCCATCAAGCGCACGCGAGAGGAGATCCGAACTGGAAAGATTCGGCAGTACAAAGCGCGTATGTGCATGGTCGCATACGAAGAGGAACAGATGAAGACGATCATCGTGGATGATCATGTACTCATCTGGTACAAGAACCGCTTTTACAGAGCCAACCAGTTCGCGGCCGCCTATGCCTTGATCCCGGTGGCCGAGCGTTTTGAGGTCTTGAGCGTCGCCAACACGACGTTCCAATCCCTTGCGTTGTCCAAGCAGGATGTGTATGCCGACATTCTCAGCTATGTCGAGGACATCTTGCGCCCCCTCACGGAGGCAAAGGACACGGAAGGCGGAAGCCGACCCCTACCTGCAACAAGGCAGCAGAACCCGGATGTCACCAGGTCCTCGCGTCCTGGCTATGGTTCTCATCAGGGGCCCACTCATGGCTACAGTCAGCAGGAATGGAATGACTACTACAATCAGTGGACTGACCAGGAGTGGGAAGATTGGCGCCGTCGAAATCAAGGCCACCAATACAGGGATCGACGTTGGTCGGGCTATCGCTGAGGCACCGCGGAGGGGAACCTCTCGCCTGGTGGATTTGTCTTCATCTGAGGCGGGGTAGTTTCCTTTCAATGAGAGGTGTCGCACAGCGGAAGCTGTTGCCTTTTTCGGATTTAATTCGATTAGGCGACTAGCTTCATTTTGCACGCGTGGGTGAGCGATTCCACGATCATTTTCAACACAAGTGTGCTAAGTCGGAATTTTTGCCAACTCATTCAAGTTCACCAAAGTTTCATTAACGCTTTAAAAGCATATAAGTTGAAGCAGGCATTTGGCACTCATCTTATTCTTGCCATGATTCCTTCTTGCATAGCACACGGCTGGTAGTTGCATGTACCGCAGAGCGGAAGCTCTAGCCTTGCGAAGTTAAGGCATCTTTGAAGCATTTCTGAAAGCTTCCCTGCGGGTTCACACAACATTGAATTCAGCTTTTGCCATAATTAAAATTGCTTTGCTTTGGCAAGCTCCTGGGCGACCACAAGAACTTTTGTTGCCGCGTGGAAACGCTGGCCTAGTATTGGGCCAAGACCTTTTCTTTCCACCTTGCATGTTCAACCACAAGCCCAGTCGAGCCTAAAAATGAAGCTGAATGCATCCGACCGAATTGATGTTCACTGCATCCGTTGGCCTTTGTACGTGAAGTAGAGCCGAACGATATGCATTATCACTTTTGCTCATGTTTGTCATCTGTTTGCACACCTGAGGTGATGACGAAAGTACTATGGAAGGTTAGGCTGCGCTCCGGGGGGTTTGGTTCTTTGGGTTTTGTTGTTTATATTATTAATGGCATCCCTTAACTCTGTAGTGCATCCCTTAATTTGCAGCTTCACTTCCTGTGCGGTAATTACACTGCACGGGGGGTGTTGATGCACAGTAGTACTCTATGTATATAGCATTTCACCTCTTCTACTTGTGTGCATATGGCTCAAGAAACAGTGTGTCCCGTTTGTGGTGTGTGGTGGCTGTTACCGTATTTCTACAATATATATATATATATTTATGCCTGTGACATCCTGGGACTTTGATCCCAAATTTGATTTCACTGCCGACCTCACTGTAGAGAATATTGAGCAAGGGGAACCATGCCAAAATCTAATACATACAATTCCCAAAATTCCGAGAAAAATCCGGAAGAACATTCCCAACATGTCCAATCTTGGGATACAATTTTCTAATCCCCAAGATTTGGAAGATTTGGGCGATTTTGGTTGGTAAATTCTTATCCCCGGCCCAAGGTCCTGCTGCCGTGGCCATAAACACAGCTGTTCGGAGTTGCGTTTGCACGTGGCAGTATTTGGACAGCATGGAAAATGCATGGGTTTCTCGTGCGGAAATCATCTACAGGCGTATTTTCCATATCAATGGTGGTTTTGTACGGTTTTATGCTACGGCCATGGGAAAAGCCTGGCACCATCTGGCACCCTGAATTACAAATGGCTGGGACTTTTGTTCGTCCCTCCAGGATATGGCAGACAGAGGTTTTGTCCTACTTCTATTTCTATCACAAAACCTATGCTTGAAAATGAGATATTATATGATATTATCGCAATTGATCAGCATGTTGATGTTTGTTGCATACCTTGACAATTTCAGGCAACGGAAAGTTCCATCAATGGAAGTCACCTAGAAATGCTGGCTTAGATTGTCGTACAGGTGCACAAGATAAGTCTGATGTTTCATCCCTACCCGGGATGTGGTGATGATGATGATGATGATGATATAGGATCATTGTTTTATAACTCAAGAAATTATCAGAGTGCGTTGAAACCACCAGGTAGTGATGTTTCATGATGTGTCCTTTTAGTTGGGAGTGTGATGCGCACATACATACATACATACATACACCATACATACATACGTACATACATACCTACATACCTACATACCTACATACATACATACATACATACATTACATACATTACATACATTACATACATTACATACATTACATACATTACATACATTACATACATTACATACATTACATACCATACATTACATACATTACATACATTACATACATTACATACATTACATACATTACATACATTACATACATTACATACATTACATACATTACATACATACATACATACATACATACATACATACATACATACATACATACATACACCATACATACATACATACATACATACATACATACTACATACATACATACCTACATACTACATACACCTACATACATACATACATACATACATACATACATACATACATACATACATACATACATACATACATACACATACATAACATACGTTCATACGTTCATACATTCATACATTCATACATTCATACATTCATACATACATACATACATTCATACATTCATACATTCATACATTCATACATTCATACATTCATGCATTCATACATTCATACATTCATACATTCATACATACATACATACATACTTTTTTTATGTTAATACATATGTATATATATGTGTGTGTGTGTCTAATGCTGCTATTAGTATTGTTATCATTATCATTGCCATTATTATTACTATGATTATCTATATATATATATATATTTACATACTTGCATATGTACATATTTATTTATTGATTTATTTATATTGCCGGGCACTATCCTTACACTTTCGGAATCTTGGATTACATTCATCCCTATAAGTTGGTCATTGGCTTTTATCCCAAGTGTTTGTCGAACAAAATCCGGGTTGTGTTGACGACATCCTCTTGTTCAGGTGGTCACGGTTGATTCAGGCTTGCTACATACTGTGCGTGTGTATGTTTAAGCATGGATTTGTCAAAGTGCATTTGTAAACATTGGTGTAGCAATGACTATCACTGTTCATTGTCATATGCTGGGACCCTTGCTTTTTTAAGGTAGCCCTATATATACACCCCCAAATCTAGACTGGCAACTTAGCCCAATGCCATTTCAGGAGGTGATTTCTAAAGTTGGCACATCTTCCGGGTGTCAAGTTAAAGTTTGTGAGCGTATTTGTATGAGTTTTCGCCCGACAGTGGGCCAGATTATGTCTCGTCTCTTTGCTAGTTTCTCCGTTCTGGTTGATTGGGTGATTGTTGGTTTGAAATTGTTTGATATATGTTTTACTTTTTATCCGGCAATGCCGTGCTATATTCACGATATACAGTATTTCTGGGAGTTTTTACAGCAGTGCCACAGGCATGGTCTGTGCCAGAGTACCACCAAGAACTGGACGTTGAGGCTCTGGTGGGCCCGCGCGAGGATTGTTTTAATCGAAAGATTGGAGAAAAACATGCTGTCGCGTAAGAAAAAAGAAACTTTGAAATCAATCCTGGAAAGAAAAATGTGAGTTCTTATGTATGCACTGATTGGTCTGAAAATTGGGTACTCCACCAAGTCCATCGATTAATCATCATTTTCCCTATAATAATAACCTTTGGGGCGCATGCTCCAGACAAATACATGTGCTAAGGCTGCCCATATTAGGGAACGGTCATACCACCAAAAATAGAGATCCATAAGAGCCAGCATAAGGATTCACAATGGCCAACATAAGGATTTCAAATAAGGGGGTGAATGACCATATCACCTACACCATGTGACTTCACCATGGCACACACACATAATACATATATATATATAACACAATAATGGCATTGGTAGCAGGAATGGCAAAAAACAATTACTGCAAGTGGAGAGTCGTTCAATTTTGTGCTGTCGTCCTGTTGTCCAGCCAGGTAGCAAGTGGTCTCGCTGGAACACCACGCTGTTTGGGCGACGATTTGTACCGTGACTATTTCGAGGATGTGCGACGACATGCACACGGCCTGCAGGTGAAACCCAATCAGTTGATGGGGAAAATTGATGGGTTTTTACTCTACGTTTGGCATTGTTTGACGGAGAAAATATGAAGAATCTGTTTATACCACGAAAATGATGATAAGCTAGTGGGTGTTTGTGTGTGTGTTGCTGTTCCTTGACCGATCTAATTATTGATTCTGCCAATGCCAGAAACTGAGTGACAGATTCTGGCATCTCGCAACGTAAAGCCAACAAAATGCATGTTCATTGGTTACCATTAGTTATGCATATATATATATATTATATTATATATATATGCATTCATATATTCATATAAAAACAGCAGGGGACCACTCGCATCCAAGTGCAAGATGTAAGGCAGTTTCAAATCAGCATTCTGCATCTCTGTTGGGGCCATGACTCGCCTGACTCGCTATGTTTCGATGGCGATGGCAGGGTGGCATCTTGGGCAGTCGCACGGAAAAGCTTGTGGCCAACTTGGCACCATCCCTGATGTCCAGCTGTCCCGAAGTCTCTTTGCTAGGCATCGCAGGGAAAAACGCGGCGGATCGCGTCTGGTGGTGATTCGAAGTGGTTGCAAGCGGCCCATGTGCAAATATGGTTCAAACTTAGTATAAACATGGCTTGTATCTGCCAAGAATGGGATGGTTTTGGGGTGAATGAGGTAGGTATGCCATAATTGCGCGAACATAGATGATCATGGTGAACATATCGCCTTGGGTTCCTGGGTTCCAAACTGAAATCCACAGGTTTGAAATGTTAGAAAACCATCGTGGCCATCGTGACACCCCTGGTTGAAAAAGAATGGCTGGGCAGGTCGACTAGTGGTGGTGGAGAGGATCTGCCAGAGCTTGTTGCAGAACCCCCTGTCGCCTGAAGCCCTTGACAGGCGCGGGCCATTTTATGGGTGCCGATGCCTGACAGCCTGACAGACAACCAGGCTGCTCACATCAAAACTAATCCTTAATGATTACCCGGATTACGGATTACGGGTTTACGGTTTACTTCTGGTACCAAAGCTCAATGGTTTCGTTTGCTTACCGCGGGGGTACATTGATGTGTGCTTCAGAGTCTTACTTGTGATACCAAAATGGAGTGGTACTACCTTAAAAGCACTCATTTTGGGATCACCAGTGCCCATGAATACATTCACCGAGGAACTCCAAAATGAACCGATCCTTGACCCGTGCCTATATTTCAACTCATAATGGTGCCTATTTGTAACTAATGGGGCCATGTTGGGAGGTGCTGCAAAAGCCACTGGTGATACCAAAATGGAGTGGTACTACCTTAAAAGCACTCATTTTGGGATCACCAGTGCCCATGAATACATTCACCGAGGAATCCCGAAATGAACCGATCCTTGACCCTTGCCTATGTGTTAACTCATAATGCTGCCTGTGGCCATTTCAGGAGGTGCTGCAAGAGGCACTGGTGATACCAAAATGCAGTGGTACTACTAACCTTAAAAGCATTCATTTTGGGATCACCAGTGCCAATGAATACATTCACCGAGGAATCCCGAAATTAACCGATCCTTGACCCTTGCCTATGTGTTAACTCATAATGCTGCCTGGGGCCATTTCAGGAGGTGCTGCAAGAGGCACTGGTGATACCAAAATGCAGTGGTACTACTAGCCTTAAAAGCACTCATTTTGGGATCACCAGTGCCCATGAATACATTCACCGAGGAACTCCAAAATGAACCGATCCTTGACCCGTGCCTATATTTCAATTCATAATGGTGCCTATTTGTAACTAATGGGGCCATGTTGGGAGGTGCAGCAAAAGCCACTGGTGATACCAAAATGGAGTGGTACTACCTTAAAAGCACTCATTTTGGGATCACCAGTGCCCATGAATACATTCACCGAGGAACTCCAAAATGAACCGATCCTTGAACCATTGCCTACATTTCAATTCATAATGGTGCCTATTTGTAACTAGTGGGGCCATTTCGGGAGGTGCTGAGTGTTTACCTCCTGGAAATAGCTGAGAGCCCCTGCTGAGTCTTTCCCACACTATCAACTTTGTTTTCCTGGATTGGTTTTGTACTCATGATGGGTTACGGATTACGGATTAGACGGGTTTACAAGCCAGGCGCGGATTGTCGGGATTACGGATTAGTTTTGCGGCCGGTCGGTTTCGATGTGTACAGCCAGGGTAGATCCAGGGTAGATCTAGATGTTCCTATAGTGACACTCTTCAACAAGAGCCAACACTGCATAATTTGGGGGGAATGCATGAGGGACAGGCGTTTTTAGACAGCCAGTATATGGTAGATACAGAGGATACATGTTATCATGAAGAAAATACGTTTTATATCTTTCTAGTGCATCCATTGTACTCCAGTGCCCCAGTGATGATTTGGAACAGGCGATGACCTCAAGCAATACCTTCGGGGGATGCTGGAATCACTTCATGACATGGCTGGAGATGTGGATGTTGTACACTTGAGAGCTACGAATCTTGAAGTATCACCCTGGGGAAGGCATGTGGACGCTCATGTGGCTGTACCTTAGAGTGAATGCCTAAGTTTTAATCGAAAACATCCTTTCCGTTTGCATGTTTTGTTATGATGTTACATGTTTGATGCTCACGTTACATGTAAACTACGGCGTCAAATCCAGGACTGAGTTTGCCTTGGGCCGGGAGGCAACAAATTCTCCGACAAGATGTGCAAGACATTGTGCCCAATCTCGAGGCGAACTTGCCATTAAGCTGCATGCAGTTTTCGAGGGATTCCGTCAAATCAAGAGGAAAAGAGTTCCTCCAACATGGCATCCTTAGTTCTAGACTGGCCATTGGTATTGGGCGAGAAGATGATTGACCAGATGGGAAGGCTGAACCAGGGTTGCGGCCAAAATGACTATGAAATGCTATGAGTCAAACTTACACACAAAATTGATCGGATGACTGTAGATGATGGCAGATCCAAAACCACCCAAACTCATCTCTTCCCTTGATGTGGACTTATCTGAAAAATGGATACAAATAAGTATTTATTGTACTGGGTATGTATTCCATTCCATCCACTGGTTAATCATTAATTATATCAACGAGCCCATCAAGATATTAAAATAGCCACACTTTGGCGGCCTTATCCCCTTGGGTACAGCCCACAGCCACGTTGGGCACCGTTCCCAGGGTTCGCGGGGTTCCCGGGGGGTCCGAGGCATGTGGGCTACTTGACGCTGGTCCCCATGAGGATCGTCACGGAACTTCTCAGGGGAGCTTGTGGCAAGATGATCCAGGCGGCTGACATGGTGATGTCGACGTCGATGTTTGTTGCTTTCTCAATGGCACAACCATTTTGGAAGAATCCATATGGAAATACTATTTTTTGAGGGCTCCGTTGGGTCCATAAGCAATCTAAGCATACATTATATACATTAGTTTGTTCCTCTTAAAGTTCACGGGTTGAAATATCAATGAAAATATGAAGAAAATATGTTTGAAGCATTGCTCGAATCATTACAGAGGACAGATTGAATCAGGTTGCTGTAGCCACTTATCGAATGCACGATAATTGGGCTGTACAGTAGCCAGTTATGGCATGCACGATAGCTGCTTCAAGAGCACTTAATTTCCTGAAGTTTCTGTTGTTTTGTGACTCGACCGGTGGGCATGGTACATGTTGCTTTCTGTTCGTCATCTATGTCCCCAGACAACATCCCCTGCTGTGCTTCTGTGGCGGCAGGCAGAGCATGAAGCACCAGAGAACATGCACGGGGTTGGGGAGCCTGGAAGTGAGGTCATCCTTGAGGCAGATCAGTCGTGCATTTGATTGTGGTAAATCCAATACAAAAACTCCTCGTCTGATCCTTTTTGTATATGTATGAAATATGTTATTTCATGATCTTCATGTTATGTCCATTTGAAGACGGTAACGGATTCAAAACCTCAAGTTCTTGCCCATGGTTTCACGGCGTTCCCATCACCCTTCAGGTCTTGGAGCCCAACTACCGTTGGCCATCTCCGCAGTTGGCGGGAAAAAGTTTGAAGGAGCAAGGCATCCACTGCCACGAGGGCGAGAAGCTGATGGTGCCATGGTGTCACTGACCCCAAAAGATGTGTGTACTATCAAAATCGGAGATGTGTGAATATGTGGCTGCTCAGGATAGGGGTGGTGATGGGTGGTGGCTCGCTTCCTGGATCATTTGATGAGTTTTTGGAGTTGGGTTTGGACAATATGGAAAATATAAAATAATTATATAATACCTTCATTTCTGCCTATCACAGGGTGCTCAAAACTATCCAAAACAAGTGTAGCAAAGTATGTTGTCACCATTTTTCACGTTCGACCATTGTTAATCAGTTTGCACCGAACCTTGTGATGCCCTCATGTTGCGTCATGGGATTGCAAGGTGGGCGAAGCTCTCCAAGATGGCCTTGGATGCTTGGCACCACAAGACAAAAAAACATCATCACCACTACCACCACCACCACCATCATCATCATCATAATCACCACCGCCATCATCATCATCATCATCATCATCATCCATCATCATCATCATCATGATCATCATCATCATCACCATCACCATCACCATCAGCATCACCATCATCATCACCAGAATCATCATCATCATCACCATCATCATCATCATCATAAAAAATCATCATCATCATCATCATCATCGTCGTCATCATCATCATCACCACCATCACCATCACCATCATCATCATCATCATCATTAAAATCAAAAATCAAAATCATCATCGTCAAAATCAAAAGCATCATCATCATCATCGTCATCATCATCATCACTATCACCAGCACCATCATCACCATCATCATCACCACCATCATCATCATCACCATCCTCATCATCATCATCATAATCATCTCTGCCATCATCATCATCACCACCACCATCATCATCATCATCATCATCATCATATCACCGCCATCATCATCATCACCACCATCATCATCATAATCATCTCCGCCATCATCATCATCACCACCACCATCATCATCATCATTTTCATCATCATCATCATCATACCACCGCCATCGTCATCATCATCATCACCACCATCACCATCATCATCATAATAATCATCACCGCCATCATCATCATCACCACCACCATTATCATCATAATAATAATCATCACCGCCATCGTCATCATCATCATCATCATCACCATCATCATCATCATCATATCACCGCCATCGTCCTCATCATCATCATCACCATCATCATCATCATCATAATAATCATCACCGCCATCATCATCATCACCACCACCATTATCATCATAATAATAATCATCACCGCCATCGTCATCATCATCATCATCACCACCATCATCATCATCATACCACCGCCATCATCATCATCATCATCACCACCATCACCATCATCATCATAATAATCATCACCGCCATCATCATCATCACCACCACCATTATCATCATAATAATAATCATCACCGCCATCGTCCTCATCATCATCATCACCATCATCATCATCATCATCATCAATGCACCGGGTTGATTTGTTGATGAAATACGTTTGGTGGCTTTCCAGTATCTAACTTTGGTTAATCTCTCAGCGTTGGTGTCGCTTTCAGGATTTGACCCGCAGATTCTGTTCTTTGCGGATTTGAATCATCCGATGCCACATGACGGGCTGCTCAGCAACTTGCAGTTCCCCTTCGTGACTGAGAACCAAGTGCAGGATGGCTGGTCAGACTGTGTTGTCAGACTGTGTTGGGATGGATTGCCATTATTACCCGGCTGCCCATTTCCACCGTGTTTCATGGGTTTATTGGTTGCCATGAATGCAAACCTTCACTCCTGGCCGGCTTAGAATTGTGCAGCCCATCCTTTGCGGGCTTTCCTGGGGCCTAGACTCGTACGCGAACATACAAGAACTGGCACCAATCCATAAGCCCGCCACAGAAGGGGGATCTCAAGCCCAGATGTTATTTTCTTTTCCTTGTACTTCACAAATTTATCTCCAGAGAGAGAGAGAGAGAGAGATTAGAATAGATGTCTTTTGTTGGTTGGCCGCATCGATTTTAAGATGTGGATCAATCCTTGCCTCAGTGACGAAAAAGATTGGCCCAACTACTTACGATCAATTTCATGTAATCCTCTCCCCCAATAATATTGAGCACACAAGTCCGGAATTGTTCAAACATGTTCGCACGAAAAAAAACTCTGATGGTCTTGAAATATACATGTCTTTAACAAATAGTTTTGTGATTTTTCCATGTTGTTTTGAGTTTTGGAAGATCTGATAAAAAGCCCCCCACCCCCGCCATGGCACAGGAGGTCCGGCTGGACATCATCCTGCTGCGGCCGCTGGTGGGCACCGACAACCGCTGGAGCCGCCGTGGCACCCTGGTCTTCGTGGGCCAAGCGCTGGGCGAGGAGCGCGCTTGGAAAACACGCGGGGAATGGGAGATATCGGGAAAATGTTATCATCTATCTCATTTAATATGAAAGGATATATCAACATATTATATATATAATATATATAATATATAATATATATATATAGTTATATATATATATAGACGATTATAGACGTTTTACCATATTCTCTCACTTGGATATATATATACATATATATATATATACAATTTATATAGTCCGATAGGGTATTTCAACACTTATCAACACATATCGTAAGTACATGATCCCATTTTATTTCGCTAGGATGTGTTCTCATTCAATATGATAGCTTGTATTTATATGATAGATATATGAGATATGGTTACCCCCAAAGAGATACTGTACCGAAAAGTTGTTTCCAGGATGGACAGGCACTCGTGTCATGGCCCAGTTTGAAACCATGAAAGTGGAATTTTCAACACTAGTCACCAGATATCACCAGATTTTCCAGGATGGAAATTAGTTTGATTATGTTTCCCCTATAATTTCCAGATGTTCAACATGTCTATCTATTTAGAGCCGGTTGTACATTGATCACACATCAATCAGTGGTTCCTGTAACATATGTTTTTCCTAATCCAATCTATATATTGAAACTAAAGTTACGAAAAATTCCAACCAGTGGTTGTTTTACCCCACTGTTGCATTTTTGATACCTTAGAAACCAACGATATCTAAGATATAATTCAGCTAAAAACCAACTGTGGTATCTAAGCTTCTTTATGGTTCCAGGAGCTGCATGTTTGGCGTGGGGATGTCTTGGCTTTCGCTGGCACCGGCGCTCGGATGCTGTATCGAAGCTCGGTGGTATTGGCTGTGGATGGGGGGGAGGCTCGATGGTAATGTAACAGTTCGCTATGGAAAATCAAGGAAAATCACCATGTTTAACATTGTTTAACAGGTAAATCAGCTATAAATGGACAAGTGTCCATAGCTATGTTAGTTTACCAGAGGGCAAGTCAAAGATAGTCACTCTGGCAAAGGGATTCATTTCCTCTAATATGTGCCATGTCCTCAAAAGATGGCTGTTACTTTTCCATATATATATATGTATATATGTATCCATATGATTCCATATGTATATATTATAATGGGAATATATATTCCATACAATGGGTATATATATATAGTGTGTGTGTTCTTCCATTATATATATATAGTGTGTGTGTGTTCTTCCATTATATAATGGAGATTTAATTTGATTCAATGGGAATTTATATTATCTCGCCGGGATTCCCATTGTGGGATGACCCTCAGGCAATTGTTCAGAACGCTGCCGCGTGGCCTCCCTTCCGATGCTGCAGTCCTCACATTTCCAGGAAGTGCACCGGCAGAACACCTTGGAACTTGGATCCTTGGAGCACAGTGGGGGCAGCTGATCTTGTTTCACACACACATATCTACACTAACCCCCAAAATGATTTTTTTTTGGAAAAGTGTTCCCAGGATGTCCTAGATTGATGATATGTACATCTATTCATTTCATATTTCCAGGTTTCCAACGTTCTATCTTTTTTGGGGATGGCTATACAGTAATATACAGCAATGACCTTCCCCTACGCTCCATACTAAGAGATTGCTAAGGAAGCCATGGATGAAGCCATGACCAGAAATAGTTCAATGATTTATCGATTGAACATGGTGATTTCCCTACTGTAGCTATGTTAAATTACCACAGGGTAATCTTGCACCAATATTACACTGCCCAGATCTGCCCAGAATCAGAAAAGATCCAAATCAAAACCATGTGTTTGCAGGAGCATTTAACATCACTGGGAAGGGATGACTTGATATGGTGGTTTCCATTGGTTTCCTAAAATGAGGGACCACAAAAATCAATCAAAATCATGGGTTTCAATATATACTGTTTCAACCAAAATGGTCTGATTTCAGGTGATTTGGGGTGCCCGTAGGACACCTCTACGTGGCTCGAAAAACCGCCTCAGGTGCCACGCTGTTTCGCGAGTACAGCTGGTCGGCTGAGTTGATCCCCACCCGTTGTCGGGCCAGCAGTGACTGAGCCAAATTGAAGGGCGGTTTCCTGGTGTAGGGCTGGAAATCCATAAATTATAGGTCCTTATTGATCGTTATTGATGATTATTTGATGATTATTGATGATTATTGATGATTATTGATGATTATTTGATGATTATTGATGATTATTTGATGATTATTTGATGATTATGGACGGTTATTGATGGTTATTGAGGATTATTCTATTTACAGTATCATGATAACTGCCATTACCTAAAGGTGGCGATTTTCCATGATTTTCCAACCTAGTTGCAAGTCCACTGTTTGATACTGTGTCGTTCGTAGATTTGTAGATGACTTGCTGATTGGCCAATTGGAATTGGGGACTCGTCATGGCCAGGTCGGCCAGGTTAGAAGAAAGTAACCCACAGAGTTGGGCAATGGTGAACACTAATTTCCCTGGGGCAAACCCGCAGATTGCAGCAGATTCGGTGATTGATTGAAGTCTAGATTCGAAGTGTAGAAATACATCATCACAAACAGAGATTCAAGAATCCTCTACCGTGCGGCCGTGCAGTGGTAAATTTGCAGATGGCTTATCAATCGAACATGGTGATTTTCGCTTCCAAAGTTCAAGATTCCCAGAAGGTTAAACATGGTTCCTGCAACCCATTCTAGGTAAATCACAGCCACAAGGGGGATAAATGCTTCATTTAATTTCATGACCACAAGACTTATCTATCCATTTACCCCCCCCTCGGGTATCTATGTCTGTCTATGGTGTGGGGAGCTGCCGTGGTAAGCAATGGCTGAGGTTGGAGCGCTCCCCATGCGCCCCTGCCACCACTCCACCGCCGCGCGGCACCGCGGCGCAGCATGGCGCACTGCAGTGGAAGGAGCTGGGGGCAGAGGAGCTGCCGCTTCCAAAACCTGTGACTTTGGCTCCTGATGATCAATATGGGTATGGATCAATACCTATTAATTCCATTTTTAGTGGGATGAACATCCATTTACCAGCTATTTTGATGTGAACTACAGGGGTACAAGGTTTTGACACACTGCCATATGATCAATGGATGCAAGACACCCCCTGTTGATTATTAAATAATATATATATATATAATTATATATAAACTATCCAATATATTAATTGATACATACGCACATGAGTAACCGACAAAGTTATTGTAATACTAATTTAGTCTTGCTTCGCCTTGGCATTGCTCAGGGGTGTGCAAAACCTTCATTGCCGATAGGGGACGACCCTATACCGATACCCTTGTTTTGCATGAGTCGCCTCAAAATCTGAGAAGGTAGAAATCCTAACTACCGATACCAATACAAAACCAAGGCTTAAAAGGTTGGTAATTCGTACCGGGGGAAGGGATGCCAAAGGGTTGATTCCTATCTAAACAAGACATTGGAAATCAAGCCCAGATATTTGATGATATTTGGCCGTGTGGCTTGTGGTATCAATTTGTTCTTACCAAATTCTTTTGTGCATTATGGCATAGTCCTTCATAGCACGTCTCAATTTCTATGATTCTATTCTTTGGTTTCAATGATTTGCCGTTCCTATTTGGAGGCTTCATCCAAACCTTCTCGGGGTTGAAACCGCCAGCTAAGGATGGTTGATCAAAAGTGATGGTAAACCATGTTAACACTGGGGCAATCCAAAAAAAAACGACAAAGGTGGTGTGGATTGGTGAAGAGTTACTGTATGCGCAGAAACAGCCGTATGACGCTCATGACGGTCAGGGACATCGATCGGGAAAGATGTGGCAAAAAATGTTAATACAAAGATTTTTCAAAGGCTGCGGGAAAGGCATGGATATCCACCCCGTAGTTTTTTCTTTGTACTACATAAAGCCTAGGGAAAAACCACTATTTGTGCTTGATGTTCTATGAAAAATGGGAACTCTGCCAGGTTAGATCACTGGAGGATAAGTCGTGTTCATCTCTCTTCGGATCAGATCCATCACATGGTACAGCCTAGGTGCTACATGCAGGTTTTATTGTTTTATCCTTACATTTCAGGTGCTATGACGTCGCCAGGGAGACCTTTGAGTTCTATGGCAACCCTTCCAACAGCGACTCAGAGCTGGAAAGGGAGAGAATGGATGAGAAAGGATCCATGACAATGATATGAAGTGATGAATGTGTTTGTTGGAAATCCCCATGTCCTGCATGTTTGGGCCACATCCACATGCATGAATCGCATGAACAGATGGTTTCTACATCCAACCCCACTGGCCGACCTCAGCATAAGGCTTGGGAGCCCGGGAAGCCTCTCAAAATAAACCTCTTTGTAGGTTTGCGAAATATTCATATCTCCAGTTTCATCATTGAAAATCAATGAAATTCATGTCAATATGATATGATATCAACATCAATGTCAAAAGATCTTTGTCGAGATGAATCATTGACTGATCATTGACTTATTTGTCAGAGAGGTGACGATTACCTTGTTGGCCTCTCCATGTTCAGCGACGTTCGTATGAGCTGGAAGCCAGATGTGCTGGAGGCCCGGCCACCCCTGGCAAAGACTCACTGGTTGATGTGTTGATATTTTCGGATATTTTCGGTGGCTTACAGGAAAATAGCAAAACAGTGAGAAACGTATTGAAAAACTATAAGGAGACTGTAAAACGATGTAAAACGATGTAAAATGGATGAGAGTCATCCAAAGTTCCGAAATGTGGTGCCTTTTCGTTTGCCGCCCAGCCGCTGATCGTTTGCCGCCCAGGCCTCAGACTCAAAATCAGCATCCTGGGTCGACGTGCCGGTGTATTTGGCCATGAGGCACTTGGAGGAGCTACAGAAATGGCGAATAATGGTGATGTTTGCCACACATGTTGGTGATGGGATTTGACCATAATGGGGATCATGATGAACTGGCTGGTGGTTTCCAATGTTTATTTATATAATTTCATAATTTATATACTTATTTTTTCAACCATAGAGAGATGGGATGATGATCCCCAATAACTTTCCTGTTTTCAGGGGGTGTGAAACCACAAGCTAGGTTACTAGTTGGCAAGGGCCTCTGTAAGTTGTCAAGGAGTTGTGCATGGGACCACCCTTTGGTGATGAGGCCTACCCACCACACACATTACCCACGTAACCAGTAACTGGAATCGTCACATGCATGAATGAAGGCATCATGTGATAACTTCAAGTTTGCTTGAAAGAAGGCGTCGCTTGGCCGGAGATGAGCCAGAGGGGTTGAGTATGGCTCCCATGACTCCTAGTGTAGGAATGGCTCCTAGTTTTTGGAATGGATTGTGCTACACTTCCTCTGCCTACAGTTTGTCGAGCTGATTCTGTTGCTGGTTGTTGTTGATGTGCGCCATCCAGTGGAGTCTGGGTCCCAACTGTGTGGAAAACAGGGCGGAAAAACCGCAGGCATGCAGCGCACAACTGGGGTCATCATGCAGTTGAGAGCCTCGGCATTTCCCTTTTCAAAGGGGGTCAAGTTATATTGTGTTTTGAAGGCGCGTGACCTGGACCATGATCTACCAGAAATTGGAATCCGTGAAAAAAACATGGTTGGGGTTAACCTGCCAGACCAAAAAGAGCTATTATGGCTTGGCCTGGCTTGGTGGGTCATTGCCAGCTATTGGAGGTGGCCCAAGTCTCGCTTGTGTTGAGTGCTGATTTGTTAGGGGTGCATATCTAGGTTTGGCTTTGGAATGCTTTGAATCCTATTCTTGTCTAGTCATGTACTTTTTTAGATAGACATACGATGTAATATGTGTGTGTGTGCCTCTCTCTATATTCTGTATGTTGGTCGGGATTGACTCCCCACTGGCTGGTACAGGTATTTGTTCGCCCCTTCACTTTTGTATATGTCATATGTTATGTTTATTTCCGCCCCCATTCAGGATGGTGAAGTGATTCTATAATACTCAGAGTTTGGCTGCAACCACTCACCAGGTTTCAGCGAGAAGGTTGGGGCATGGGTCAATCCCAGAATTGGTCGAAGGAAAACTGACCGGAGCCCCTCAAAATGTGTCAAGTTTATGGTCTACATGCTCAAACCCTCCTCACTGTTGATAATGTCATAATCCCATCCCCCGTTCATATTAAACAGCCCCATTCTATGGTCCCTATGTTGTCCCTATGTGTAAACCCCCTAGACCTACCATGGTGACTCTAGGGGGTGTTTTTTTATTGGGGATGGGATTGTTATGACCAACTCACCCTCAATTAATCTCAATGGTGGCTGAGGACGACTCTGGGTCTCTACGCCTTGATCATGTCTAATGAGGACCTTCGAGAAGCCTGGCGATGGCACAGAAAAAAATTGCAGGAGCCAGGACAGGTAGTTAACTTATGTTAACTTACTATTGAAGGTGTGATTTGCAATTTTAAGAGGAGATTACTTTTCTAGCTTTTTTGGGGGTTATTGCTTTCGCGTCAGATCTTAGGGGTTTTGTTTTGATTCGATTCACTATTAGTGTGCTGGATAGTGGGAGCTTGGTGTCGAGAATGTTTGATGATTCATCCACCCTGCGGATCAACGGCGAAATCTTGGGGCGCGGAACCAGGATTGCACTGATTGCATCCGATGTGGTCAGTGTGGACACATCGAGCATTAGTAAACATGTTCAGATCCAAACAACATCAAGCAACTGCATGTTGTTCTGTGATTTTTTGCAGTAGCCCATTCTGCCAGTATCGTTGGTGACAAATCCCCAATTTGTGTTGGTTGAATCCGAAGTTTTGAAGCCGTTTCTAGCCAACCATCTCGCACTCGTAAGACCCACCCCTAGGAAGTTCATGGGCAGCGCTTGGTTTTCTTCTTGGATGAATGCTCTCTGGAGCTTCAGGGAGATGCCATCGAGTTTTGCATGCAATTTGCGGCTTGGACGTTTGCCGATTTGGTAAATGTTGTTTTTCAGTATGGTAAAGTATACGCCTAAAAATATGCAACGAGAAAAACAACCAGGGTATCTATGTGAGTGGCGGAAGGCTGATGGGCAGTCTAATTTCAGGCCACGTTATTAGTGTTTGGAAAAGATCTCTCCTTCCATGCATTTTGCGACGCTTTGCACGTCCCAAAGCCATAGATCTACCCATTGGTTGAGTAGTGAAGGGGGTCACTCACCATGAAACGATCAGTGGGTAAATTCAAAAATGGATGGACCAAACCACCCTCCACTGCGCAACCCCAAAAGAAACCAGAGTGCGTTCTACCTTGAGTAGATGGATGCTAAACACGTCCAATTCCTTGGCTTCATTCTGTTGATGTGACTTTCCAACATCTAGATCTATCAGTTCAATTCCGTGGAAATTTTGCCGGAACCCGAGAGAGATGTTGCTAATTTTGCCAGGCCAGTTTTTGCGATCACCGAATGTTGATGTTGTGACTGCTTGGGATATGTTTCGTAGAAGGAAATGACAACTTATAACATTCAATGAAATCCCACATGCTGTGCAGCTAGATTCAAATTTCACTAGTAGGAGAACGAGAAAAAGACAGGATCCTACAGATGGAGAGTGCCGTTGGTGACTCTGCTTATATTATAGGGTTCGATGTGAGACCTCTTGCCAAAATGCAGTTGGTTGGGTGGAATCGACCATGGTTAGTGAGCTTACAAAGCACATGGACCTGGTTTTTTAGGTCGATGGACTTGTTTTTCCTCATAAATGGGAGACTTGAATGCCATGTTCAAAAAAAACAGGGTATGTGATGAGATTATCACTCGTTTGTCACGGTTTATCACTTTCACCACAGATACAGAAAAAGTCAGGACAGTCCGGGGCCTGGTTATCACTGCAGGTGCCGAATCCCACCATGTGCATCAAGGAGATACCAGAGCTGTGTGCCCCTTGGGCACCATTTGGGCACACGGTACGGTACAGTTTTTTGTCATCGAGTATTTATTAATATTATAATATATATATAATACATGTGTGTGTAATGTAATGTAATGGAATGTAATGTAATGTAATGCAATGGAATGGAATGGAATGGAATGGAACGGAATGGAATGGAATGGAATGTAAGGTATGTATGTATTAATGTATGTATTAATGTATGTATTAATGTATTAATGTAACTATTAAATTGTAACGTAATGTAAGGTAATGTAATGTATGTATATATGTATCTATCTCTCTCTCTCTCACTATTTTTTCTGGTTACATTCCAAATTCATCAACCAAGGTTTATTTGCCCGGGTTGACATTGCCATTGACTACCCGTCATTGTCACTCTTGCCGGACCGTTTTTCATTCGGTTCAGGAGATGCCTTTGATCATTTCAGTTTGTTTCCAGCCCAGGCCAAATTCACTGAGCAGCTTTGGCCGTTGCTTTCCGACTGGGCTCCCCTGGAGAAAGCCCAGGTGGCTGAACGGGCACCCAGCACTAGGACTGGGCACAATTGCATGGGACATGGTGGTAACTGGCTTCCCTTTGTTCGTTTGCCCCGTGTCCAGGAAATCTGCTCCAGTGCATTGCGATTGATAGTTATTATATGTTATTATCTATTCCGGCGAAAACATCAGTATCATCTTCACTCATTTTCCGGGGTTAGGTCAAAACCTCAGTGCACATTTCTTGTGTAAGGTTATATCTTCATCCGATTGCATGAAATGATGACCTCAAGGACCAGGGCTAGGGGGATGGATAGCAATGGATAGCACCAACCACCAACCAGGATCCTGTGCTTTCGCTCTCTTGTGGCCGGCATGGCACCCTGGCGACGCCCAGTGCAAGTGGAGGAAGTACTATGTCTGGTGGGGCTGGCAGGATAAGCAAGGATATGAAGAAGATGAAGAAGAAGAAGATGATGATGATGATAATGATGATGATGATGATGATGAAACCGGACTCAGTTGTCTAGTCTGGTGTTTCCGTTTTTTCCTTCTTAACAAGCCCGTGTTTGATCTCATCTCTTCAATTTGATGCTGATGTCCTCAGTATCATCATGTCGTATCATCGTACCTATCACAAGCCAACATGTCCTTGATCATGGTTTGTCCTGGGCAATGGGCAACTTAGTTTTATACTTGGTTGGGTTTAGAGTTGCGTGTCTCTATGAGGTTATGCACAGATGTATCTATACCTTTGGGACTGTACCATCGGGGGGCATGATCCATTCTTTCGCTGTGCAGGACTCCCAAGGTATGCCTCTGGCCCAACAGGAATGGGCTGCAGATCCCCTGTTTGCGCCAGTTTCTCTAGTTGCATCCAAAGGGCTGCCAGGAGGTGCCAGTCTTTAAAATAATGGGTAAGTTGCAATGATATACAATGATATACAATGATACCATATGTCTATATATTTCTATATGTTTCTCATATTTGGGAGTAAGATCCACTCACCCACTATTTTTGGTGCCACTTTGTGTCAGGATTACCGTCACCTGGACATGATCCCTTGATGGCCTCACCCTGCCTTCCGAATGAGGTCATTCGGCAGTTCCAGGCTGGGTCCATCGTGTTGTCCTGTCCACTGTTGTGAATGTCCATCATATATAATTGGGTGGGTAGGGCAACATACCCTCTGGTAAATAAACATAGACCCTGAAAATCAATGAAAGTCACCAATTTTTAATGGAAACTAGTCTTCCAACCCCTATCTGCCAGGGTCTATGTTATTTACCAGAGGGAAAGCCCAGATCCACCGGCAGTATGGTGAGCATATCAAACCAGCTGGATTCCTATGTGTGTTCCCAGTGCTTGGACGTTTTTGATCTATTCTCAGATTGTTGCTGAAATTCGCACTTGGTGGTCGTGAATTCGCATTTACCAATCAGTTTGGGAGTGTGCACAAGGGTCACACAGATAGCCAACAGCTTGGCTACGAAGCACATTTCTGCTCAATAGGGGGAAGCAGTGCGGAAGTCCTTCAACGCAGCTCAGACAAAAATGGATGAACATCCCAAAAATGCCAACAAAAGCACTTGACACGTTGCACTAATTCCTGTTTAAACATTGTTGACTTGACGTGACATGTCCAATTCCGTGACGTTGACGCTTGCCGGGATCAATTGCACATTGGATCATGACGGAGGTGCGCCCATCCTGTTTGGTGTGTCAGGATCAGAATGTGAGACTTAGGGGGGCTGGAGTTTTTTGAAGGGACTTTTGGGAGATGTACCTTCTTGATTCTTCGACGTGAATGTCAACATGTTCAATCATGACTATGAATATGAATAACATCGAATAACTATGAATTTTAGGATGAAGTTGAATTTGAAATCATGTGAACATGAATGTGTTCATATACACTTGCAGTTCATTTGAATATGCTAATATGCTAGATATATAGATATGTGCATCATGTGCGTGTTTTATAGCTGTGTTTTCCCTGATCTCGCGGGTTTCAGTATCCAGGCGCAGGAAGCAACCCCCACGATGGGCCACTTGACAGCATCAAGTATCGGGTCATCCACCAACCAATAGTTCTCAGAAGGATCATCAAATTTAGGTAGAAGGCCTACTCGATTATTCGACCTATTTAATTTCTTGATTGATTTGGTTTTATTTGTGTGTTTTTGTGTGTTTTTTTACTTCTTTGACTAATTTGTTCATTTCTGATTAGCCCGCGCCCTCACTATCCACTTTTGGAGAGTGGACTGATAACCCAAATGATACTGTATGTTTTGTCAAAAATGCTGTGAGGGGAATGGGCAATGTCCCACATTGTTGATCAATAAATGGGCAACCCACCAGAAAAAGATCTATAAATAGTTAAATGAAACGGTTCCGGCCCGGCCACTGTTTTGTCCCAAAAGGACTATTTGCAGATCTAATACAGAACCAATACCGAAGCACGGACAGGGCTGTATCCAAAAATTTGGCATCAACCAGTTGATGCTTTGCTGTCACAGGGCATACCAGTGGTTTTTTCAAATGTGGAATCATCACCATAATTGACATCTATAGGTTGAACTCTCAAATATTCATGAGATGTATAAAATATAAATCGATATTATGTACATATATATATATACATATATATATATACATATATATATATTATTGTTTTATACATATATATATATATTTATTTAGCTATTTAATATATGAGACATATGTATTGCATTAGCATCCGTTTCTATCTCGAGTCCACAGATTCATCAAGCTGAGGTGAAGAAAGTGCCCCTAAAAAGGACCTGCTGGGACTCCATGAGATCCATGCGTGGGGGTGGCCATGAGTGGCCTGATTTGCTTCACGATGAAGGTGGTGTCATGTGGTGTCAATTTGCGAAATTGAAGAGAATCCACCATCATCATTCACAGCTAGGATTTGACACCAGGAGGTCTAAAAGTATTTTAAGAACTTTTAAGAGTTTAAACAACATCATTGCTCTCAATTCTCAGATATCACTACCATCCCGTACCAATTGCCACAAGTTAGATGTTCTGTGCCAAAATGGTGCAATAATTTTCCGTAGGAAGAGCAAGGAAGTTGGGCAAACCGCAGGACGAGATGCCTTCCGGCCCATGGGCAGATGAAGGCCTCCTGTAGCCGTCGCCGTGCTATGCCGCAGCATCAAACCTGTCCATTGGGCGTCAGCATCCCTGTCACGATGCGAAAGTACATCAGGGTTTTTCATCATCATCATCATCATCATCGTCATCGTCATCGTCATCGTCATCGCCGTCACTGGTCACTGGTCACTGGTCACTAATCACTAGGCACTAGGCACACTAGTTACTAGTTCTATTATTGATATGTATACTGTATACTTTAGTAGTACCAGATAGGATTAACAGTAATATTGCTATGATCATCACCACAGCGTCAGCATACGCAAGGCCAGGGTCCCCAGGGCGACGGCGATGCACCTGAGGCAGATGGGTAGCAAAGAGCCGTCATACCACCGGATATCACCAGATATCACCGTGTCATTCCATGTCATATTCATTTCATTCATCAGCATTTCTCAGCGATCTCAGGTTGAGATTACTTTGAAAGCCGTTGGCGCACAGATTCTCATCACCCATGATGATTCTGCACAGGAATTGTGACATATGCTGATGTTTCTTTGCTTTTCTTTGACGACAGGGGTACTCATGTTTTGGTGAGGAGATGAGATGTTGTGTTTTTCTTGGACCGGCTGTCATTCCTATCAAAATCAGAGGTGAACTCGGGTTCCCCAAGCTACATGGTGAGGACAGTGAAAGGCATGTTTGTTCTAAAATTCTGCGGTTTTCTAAATGAGGAATTGACCGGGAAAAGTTGAATCATAAAGTATTCATCCCTTTTAAAATGGATGGTTCAGTCCTAAACGCGAGCAGCCATTCACAATGTTCGTACGCTAGGTGGTGTGGCAAGACGACGAAGCAGTGCCCACGCAGCAGGACCCCATGAGAGTGACGGCATTAGGTTTCGCGGTGTGAAACTCTGTTGGGACATTTGGATAGAAAATGATTTAAAAAAATATAAACATATGATAAATATGCCAGAGACAGGAAGATTATCATGGTCGATTCGATCCAGGATTTCAGAAAGTTGGCTTATGAAAAGTCAACTGGAGCCCTGAGGAGCCCGCGCAAGAAACACCGGGTCCCAACCTGGAGGCTCCCAACCTGAATCTGGAAGGTGCCTTGGAGCTGGCCCATGATTTTCATGGATCCACTATCCACGACCCCCAAATTAGAATGGTTTGATTGTGTTTGATCAATAGGATTGCCCTCCTTGTTCAGAAATTCGGGCGGGCTTTACCATGGGGTCACCATGGTTTACCCCGAAATTCATAGCAAGAAATGAGGAATTCTTCCGGGTGCCCTACTTTCAGACCCACCGCCTCTCAGGCGGTCAACCTGATGGTCAGCCCTCTGATAAGGGGGCACTGGAAGTCCCGGCACACCAAGGATCCCAAGGATCCCAAGGCCTGGTGAATTGAATCCGTTTGATGGTCACAGTCTCGCGGGCTGAGAGGAGGCTATCACATTTTGCCATTTCTAGTAACATTTACAATTCTATTGTAATCAAACACTACATGGTCAATGATCTCCAATGATCTCCATGAATATCATACATTCATTGATTTTCTCCATAGATCTCAGTTATTTTGTGATGTGTTGATGGGCCATCCAGGTGAAGTAGCAGCGACCTCCCCAGAGCTTCTTACCCAGGAGCAGGGAAGTGGCCAGCGTCAGATCCCGGTGGTTCAAAGTCGTTGAATGCAAACCGAAGTCGTTTTCTGTGCTTGTTCGTGCATAAGGAATTGTTTTAATATATGTACAGATTTATGCGCAATGGAAATCAAAGTCGACATATGTGTCCATTCAGCTAGGTTTCTGGCCGGTTTTGGGTGTTCGGAAGGCCTCCTTGAAACCCTGAATGCGCCAGTCGCCTATGAATGCCAAGTACATCAAACTGGAACAGGAGACTTCTGCTCCACCGCGACAAGGGAGCACCTTGGGCCGCAAGTCAGAAAGACCAGGGAAAACCAAGTGGCATCATGTCATATGATGACTACCCTTTGATGGCAAGGCGTTTCCCGCATGCACGAAACCGCTAGCAATTCCAAGAAATCACGTTTGCCTTGACATTGACCAATGAAGAGAGAGAGAGAGAGAGATGGAGAAAGAAACAAATCCGAAAGAAAAAAAGAAAGAAAGAAAGAAAGAAAGAGATGCTTTCAAGCATGCAGATGAGTTTGCAGCTGCATCAAGAACTCGACCCCTTGGCACATCTATGAAAAGGGAGGGTTCCCTTGACACACGTGATGATTCATGAATATTCATGATGATGTTCGATGATCTTTGCATGGACTAGAAAACTTTGGAGGCCCATGTAAAACCCATCCAGATTCCATCCAGGGATATCCAGGGTAGATTGAATTGACCACCAAAACTCCCACTCCACCAGGTGTTACATCAGCGAAACCACAGGACCGATGCCTTTGCTGCGCACCATTTTAGGAAACCGCCATGATGATGCTGTTTGAAAGTATGAAGTTGAACGAAAGTGATCAACTTCCAAAAAAAAATAATATGATATAATGTATACATATATATATATATACAGAATATACATATGATATCATATGATTACATACGGAAAGAGAGAGAGAGAGAGAGACAGAGAGAGAGAGAGAGATGCACCCGCCTTCCCTAACTCCATAACTCCATTGCTTTGCCATCCGGGCCTATTCTGCAGGATGTGCCCTTCACTTCAGCGCTTCCACCTAGCAGCTCGGACGGGGCAAATCGGACCAGGACATTGGACATTGACGTCCTAAAAAACAGCAGGCAATCCTCCTTTTTTTTTTACCAGAAATGGGTTGGATAACCATCCCCAAATGGTCTTTAGCACTGGGATTAATCACCACATTATAATATGTATATATATATATATGTGTGTGTGTGTGTTTTTACAGTATATACTGTATATATATATATAATGGTGCATAATTTGTGCTGGTTGCTGAAGGGATTTTAGGTTTGAACCCCTAGCCCTTCTCGATTCACCCTGGTGGCGAGTCGATTCCAGTGAGCCAAGGTGAGCCGACATCGCCACAGGAGACCGGCAGTGGTTTCATATTGATTCTAAACCACAAAAAATGGATTGATTACCCTCTGGTAAACTAACATAGCTATTGAAAATTGCCATTTATAGTTGATTTACCCATTAAACATGGTGATTTTCCATAGTTATGTTAGTTTACCAGAGGGTATTTATTGGATGAATTGGACTTACCGACTTATGCTGTGAAAAAAATGAAAAACAACCTGTTGGAGTTGTGCATGTGTCGTACTGTCATGTACTGTCCCATATGTCTCAACTTGTTTCCAAGAAGAATGGCAAATCATGCAACCTTACCGGTTATGTACACAGTATACTACATTATACTACATTATGCGGCATATTTTGGACTTTTACTTGATTGACTTGGCTTCAGGATAATTCAGGCACCAACCAATCCCCCCAATCCATCATAACCCATCCAAAGCCTCGCGGAGGAGTCACAGGATGGTTTGGAGCCTCAATCCGGTTCTAAGCTCGCTGGGAAACCATAGTGTTCAATGAGCAAATACGTGAAAGCCGTGAGAGCCATGGACATGTGATTTTCAGTTGAAGTTTCCAGGGTAGATTCTCAGATGATCCAGGGTTCTTTGGGGAAAACCATGGATACCATGGAATTTGAGCTTCCATTTTTACGGTGGGATCCTGCAATCTTCCTTGCGTCCAATCCTGAGATTTCGATGAATTAGAGTGACCTCAATGGCTGACGTCAAGGAACCATCCCAGTTGAGGCTGGTGAACTATCATCATTCATCATCATTCATTTTGGCAAAATACCAAGTGAGAGTTGAGGCACTGATTGAACTATGGCCTCATTTGGTGGTTTGGCGGAGTTCTTCCAAAATGGTCCACCGTTTGTGAGCATTGCAAGTTTGATTTAGCATTCCTAAACGCATTCAACGCCATGTTGATGACGGGGAAATCCCGCCATAGCCGACCACTAAACGCCAAGCATTGCTTGACCCGGTTGGGGTAGCCCCTACCTGAAGCTCCAAGTGTCAAGCAGCATGACAGCTTTGACGCGGCTTCACGGGTTTTCCAGTTTGACCTTCACAACCCTCATGGACAATGTGAAGCCAAAGAATGTCAAAGGACCCCTGGTCACCCTCCAATGGAAATGGTTCAAATTGATTGACCACTCTCGGAAACGCATGCTCCAGGCATGTTTGAGCGATAAGACCCCAATTTGCAGTTAGCCACAGCTATCCAAAAGTGGAAAAGCGAAACCAATTTGAAGTTGTTCAGTCTTTTCCCAAGGGCTCCAGCAAAATGTAAATTCACAGAATGAATCCCTTTTTCTTGCATGATTTTTCGAAAGATCCACGAAAACCCAAATGAAAATCTCAACAGAACACACTGAAAACCAGCAGCTTTCCCCTCTGGGCGATCAACCATCGATGCCTTCAACAGCCGGGCCTTGCTGTTTGGCGCCATGGTGGACCAGCAACGGCCACGGGCCACCGGATCGACCAAGTCGGTGGGGATGCGCATTGGCGAATACCAACTGGGAGAGACTTGGATCGGGGGCTGGCTTGGGCTGAACCAATGGTACAACCAATGGTACAACCAATGGTACAACTACCAATGATGTATCATGGTGTATCATGATGTATCATGATGTATCATGGTGTGTCACTGTCAATCAGGTGGCACTGTTGACCTTCACGGATCTGCTGCTGGAATTGCGGCGAGTTTTAACCTCAAAGAAACGTGGGTTCAACATGGTTCAACCATGAAATGGGAATGATATAAACATAATATATAAACTATAAACCAATAATATGAGTGGGTTGTGGGTTTAAATAGGTTCGGTTTGTTCCAACTTAGAAAAGATTGATGATCCAAGTGTATCCAAATGTGCTTTCATATTTTGGAGGTGGCTGATGGTCCAGATTGATGCTTTGGAATCCCAGCAAGGAATCGTAGTTTCTGAAGGAAAACGGACATGCATGTGTATAACTGTATACATATATATTTATATATAATTACATATAATTATATATAATTATGTACATATATGCATGTGTCCTTGCTGCTGGTGCACATGGCATTCTTGCATGTATTGTTTGTACACATCTACTGTGAAAAATCTGCGGTGCTCATTCATGATTCAATTTTAAAGCAGGGATTTGGATGATTTCTGCCAAGGAGACAATTGGAAAAGGAGGCTTCGGATGTGTCACTTGGACGTGCATTTGGTGCTCAAAGATGGCATGTTTTGGAACTCATCCAACTGGTCCGTGTTCCTCGTTTGGGTTTTCTTCAACTTTAGTAACTTTAGTCATCATGTCCAACAGTGAGGGGTCATATGTAAGTGATGTTAAAACCTCATCATAGTGTGAGGTCCGGGCATAATAGGATCCTCCTTTGCATAGCCAATCCATATCGAGAGCTCCAGAATTCACACCTTTTCCAGGTTTGGCCGAAGTAGAGGCCCCTACAACCTGGGTATATCCCTATTCCCATTTTCCATGCTAATTCCATAATATCCCGATGATATTCCTATGAAATTCCCTTTTTTCCGGCCCTATCACCGACCATGCCTTGCACATGACATATCCTGGGCATTCCTGGTCCAGGTCTACAAGGCCTTGGACCAACAGGCGGCACACATCGTGGCCATCAAACAGGTCAGCCTCGGTGGATTGCAGAGTGGAGATATCAGCCTCTCGGAACAGATGCAAAAAAACATTAATGATGTGCGGCACGGGTGTATGTGTGACGTGTGCAGTGCATATGCATGGACGTACATTGACATGTATGTACATATATATATAAGTATATATATATATAAGTATATATATATATAATTATAATTATATATATATGTGTGTATGTGCGTGTGTACATATATGTATATATCATTATTGTGTATATTTATGTAAATGTATATGCACGTTATTTGCGCGCGTGTGTGAGAGAGAGAGAGATATGTGTATGTGGGTATGCTTGTTTATGAGTGTTATTTATGTATCTGGGAGGGGCAGAAGGGACAAATCAGTTTACCGTTTGCTTTGCAGCCAAGGCTCTATCGAGGTTGAGATCGAGTTGCTTTCAAAGTTGATGCTGGACAGCAAGTCCAACTGCTAGCTATGAGCCAAGCTGTGGTAATTCCCAGAGTCAATGTGTAGGGTCCCTCAACTCCCGTGACTTCGACCAAGCCGTGTCCAAGGAAGCACAAAAATATTGTCAAGTACATTCACTCCATCCGCACCGACACGCACCTGAACATTGTTCTGGAATACGTGGAAGGCCGCGGGTGTTGGCCTTGTCAAACTTTAAGGCTCCAAAGCTGGGTTTAAACTTGGATCCATGTTGGATTCAAGTCCAGTAACATTTTAAAATTCGGATGCAGAACTGTCATGAATTGGATATTTTATGATATGTACATCCCAGTTCCAAGAATTGGATGATTATCGTTGGGCTGCGCGTCGATTGCAGGTGGCTCCATCGCCAGTATCTTGAGAAAGTTTGGGGCTTTCCCAGAGTCCTTATGCGCCATCTACACCCTGCAGAGCCTGAGCCAAAGCCCCAAATCACACTGAAGAAATCCCAGGCTGTTGGAAATCAAATAAAAGTTTGATGCTATCACATTTGTCACCCCCAGGAACTCATATCAGACCCTGCATTCCAGAGAAACTGGATTGACAGTCTTTCGTTGTTGATCTTAGGCTGAATGTCATACTTGAACTTCCGTGGTGGTGCGTCTCAAGTGGGTGCTTTCTCTAGCCCTATAAATAGGCATTAGGAGTTCATTAGTATTAGTAAGCTGATTGGGAAACCCAATGCCATAAACCTACCATCTGGGCTTGATGTTTACCATCCATTTATAGCAATATTGGGGATAGTTGGTTATTGGGTTTGCCACCGTACTAGTTACTAGTTATGCAGTGGAAATTTCAGGACCCTAAAATGGAGGTACTGTACCATAAATTTGGCAATATTTGGTGGGGACATTCCCTTACATAGCCCTTCATAATTTAGGTTCCTGAAATGGCCATTGAATTATCTTCCTTTCGGCCACTGGCTGCTCAGGATTCTGCGGGGCTTGAAATTCTTGCACTCACAAGGGGTGATTCATCGCGATATCAAGGCCGGCGACAGCATATTGGATAAAACCTTATGGAATTCTTTGACAATGCGATATGATACCCCCAAATTTACCATTGAAATGGGAAAAGTTAAGTTTGGAGATATCCGATTTTCAGTCACACCCATTTATGCTAGATTAAGATGTCAAAACACGCGTTTTCTCTGGTGATGGAAAGTCCAGCAAGTTTCCCTATAGATTGTTACTGATTTCCCTGTGCATGTTGCTGTTACCCAAAATGTGATGATGATCCACAGCCCCAGTCATGGTCCAGTTGGATAGAATGAAAATTTACACAAACCACATCTAGAGTAATGGGTAGTTCTATGTAGTTCTACAGGACAATGGTTTCGTGAGGTGGTTTCAAATAGTTTCAAATTACATTTTGTTCTAATCCCCTAATTGAATTCCAATTGAATGTCATATTTTTCAGATAGCTCAAGAAGGTTCTAAGCACCAACGACGGACTAGTGCTATACCTCACTATACCTCATATTATTACACGTAGATTATTCAAAGTCGTCAATAAATCCAAATCAAAACTATGATTTGCTGCCTTCCATTCCCCAGGTCTACCCTTCCGCATGTTTGGTTTCCTGCAGGGCGCCAATGTCTTAAGCACCAAGACGGGCATCATCAAACTGGCCGATTTCGGCGTGGCCACAAAGCTCAGCGAGATCGACAGTTCCAAACGCCGGGTGGTGGGCACGCCATATTGGATGGCACCAGAAACGGTGGAGACACTCGGTTTGAAGGGCGGGAAAACGAGGAAATGTGATTGGAAACCATGGAGGGTTACCGTGAAAGACTTGGGGAAACCCTGGTATATGTCTTTTATATACCCATGGAAAGTCATTGAAAGTCGTTGCAGGTTCCTGGGTTTCTAAGTTTCCAAATTAGCCCACTTCTTGGGATGAAAGCCCTTTACAAGTGCAAAAATAAGATGGGAAAATCATACCATATTATGAGGTTTGGTCTCATAAGATCCGGATGATCCGGATACGCGCGCGCGCGTTTCAGTCTATTTGTTTGACTTGCACATATGAGCTTGTGCAGATCTGCTCACATACTATATGTAAGCAGGTCATGCCAACCACAGCTCAATAAACTGTGGCTGATTTACATGGCGGGGTTAGCCGAGAATCAAACGACCATTTGCTGTTTCCATGACCCCCCCCTGTGAATTCAGAATTCACTGAATTCCAGTATAACTTGAGTTTTGTGCCCGGCACTTCTTTGCCAGCATTCGTTTCCAGAAAAAAACGAACATCAAGACATATCAAGACATAAAGATCCAAAAAAAATGTTGATGAAATTCCTAATCTGGTTGGTGGTTTGGAACATTTTTATTTTCCCCAATAGTTGGGATGATGATCCAATCTGACGAACTCATATTTTTCCAGGGGGTTAAAACCACCAAGCAGCACTTGTTTTGCATATCCAACCCATTGGCCCATCGAGTACTTAGTGTCCAGGATCGGTCCACCCACTGCGGCCAGCGACATTTGGAGTGTGGGTTCTACAGCGGCTCGAGCGCAAAAGATTGGTCTGGCTGGTTGAACCCAAAAGAGCCACAGATTTCTGGCAGTTCAATGCATTTCACCGGTTTATGCTAGTAAATGCTAGCAAGATGTTTATAGATGTTTGATATTTCTACTGTTCTAATAGTTCCACTTGGTTGTTGGAAACATGCAAGGAGTTTTATTCTGCAACCCTTTTTGGTGTCCTCAGAAAGGGCCTGTAACAGGTGTAGCTGGGTGATCTCTGCATTTCGTTTCTTGCTACTCAACAGTCATGTGCAGTCCGATGCATCATCCATTTACAACTGTAATATCTGCAATATGCCCTCATTTTCCTCATTAAACAGCTCCTTTAGCTGATGCATTTCATAAGCCATACATAACTGGAAAATACTGGAAAGAACTGGCATTTCACCCCATTGGGCTGACATCCTTCACACCCACCTGGTTTTCTCAGGTGGTGGAGATGGTAACCAAGAACCCGCCCTATGCGGAGCTACCACAGCTCTCAGCGTTGTACAAAATCGTGGCAGATCCGCATCCGCCGCTGCCCGAGGGCTTCTCGGAGGTGTCGGGGCTGGGGTGTTTTCGCACGAATTTCCGGATGACCAAATTGCAACTGCTTACAGTAATGAATTGAAATATATAATACATGATAATACTGGATAAGAATGATAATACTGATGATGGTGATAATGATGAATGCTATATCATAGCCCAGTTGCAAGTGGATATATATATATATATAGAGATAGATAGATATAGATATAGACATATATATATATATATATATATTCGTGTATAATATATATATATGTACATGTATATTATGTATATGTGTGTGTTATATACGTATGTATATATTATATATATCCCCAATTATATTGGGGGACGAACTTCCAACGTGGCTACGCTGCAGGAGTTGGAGCGTTTCCTGCTGAAGTGCTTCGAAAAGAGTCCCATCCAGCGCCCGGGCGCGGCGGTGCTGCTGGAAGATCCCTGGATTCAGGGCAACAAGAGGCACATGTTTTGCAGCTAAACCTGGAGCATCTAGGTATATCATTTGGTTGGTGGTTTCAATCATGTTTTATTTTCCATAAAAAAAAATGGGATAATCCTTCCCATTGACTTTCATATTTTTCAGAGGGGTAGGTATACCACCAACCAGTCATGGTATATCTAGGTTTACCTGAAAATAGATGATCAAAACATCGCAACCTTGGTTGAGAGAATCATTGTCCCGATTTTCCCAGTGGCCATAAAATTGTCTCCCAAAACTTTAGGACAGAAGCGGATGGAAGTCCTAGAGCCTCAATTGCGTGCTGGTTGAAACAGCACTGATGAAATTTATGAACGGCTGAAGAATGCTGAAGCAAAGGTCACATACTCACTGGTTGGTCATTTGATCATTTGTTGCCAAGTGGCTCATCTCGTTCCACTCTTGAATCCCACATGGGTTTGTCGGAAAAAATGGTACCCCTAAAGCATTCCAACGGCGATAGAGAGAGGGGGAGAGAGAAAAATAAAAATAGATAAGAATAAAGATGAATAAAAATAAAAAGCCTCCTACAGCTATTGCTTCCCCATTCAAATCCAATTTGTGCTATTCTTTTAGCACATTTTGCTACATTCAGACCCAGAGGGCCCAAGCCTATGGCGCAGGCACCTGAGGATTAACCTGCAACCCAAGGAGGACGTGGAGTCGGGCGATTCCGGCGAGGAATTGGAGGTCTTGACCACCTCATTACAGGAAGCTCCGCAGAAAACTCCCGTTTCGCTGATGATTTCTGGAGGTTTTTTAGTGGCCACATGTGGCCACCATTGAATTGGGGGCTGTTTTTTTGAGTGGCCCCTGATGCAAGTCCAAGTCGCCCATTTGTTGGGCGCCTTGTCAGCCTGGCGCTTTCCGAGGAAAGTGTTCTACTCACACTCAGGCCCAAGGACTGATCTCGTCCGCAACAAACCTCGAAAGCTTGAGACTTACAATGATATTAACATATGTTAACACTAGCATTATTATTACTAAATATCCGACATTCATATTATGCATATTAAGAATTATGATTATTATAATGTAGTTTCCTCATTTGCAATTCTGGCAACGCGTGGCCGCAAGGGTTTAGGATAGTGGCTTCATCCTTTTAACAGCCATGTTGAATTCCTTAGACAAAAAGACGCGTAGATACGCACAGGACGACAGCCCCTCGCGATCTTCCAAGTCGCTGAAGGTGTCGAAGGATTTGCGTAGCAGTGGCAGCAAGGACAACCCACAGGCACCGAACTGCTGAGTGGGTGGGAGCACAGCAGGGGATGAGAGGATGATGACAGTGACGGTTGGTGACTTTCTGATTCACCTTGCTCTTGGTTTGGTCGAACTTAGTCAAAGTGTGCTATCTTCATCCCTGAACCAGGGAATGGGTCATACCATGTCATACCAGTTGGCTCCAGAAGGAGGTTTTAAACGCTTGTTGGTTGGGAGGGCCGTCAATGGGATGCTTTTGATTTCCGCAAACGTTGTCAAGTGTGGGTATGTACCCCCAAGGCTGGATAATTTTGACACCTAAACAACCCGAATCTGGTGGCCCACAGCCAGTTGCGGCAGGCAGCCGGAAATATGGCATCCACTCCGAACCAACTTGGATCGAAGCTCGAGCTGCAGAAAGGGCACAATAGCACTTCCAGCAAGCTTCGGTGAATGAAAGGTAATGATGGTAATAACAAAAACCCAACCTTGGTGATCTTGATCTTGGTGGTATCCACATACCCCCCGGTTACCCTCGCTACAAAACCTTGGTTTAGTCCCAGTCATGGGGGTGCCGGAGATCTCAGGGGCCGGACCCGGAGTCCGGAAGCAAGACCTTCCATCAAGCGAACAGCTGCTTGACTCAGCTTGACTGCTTGTTGGAAGAGGGTGGGGTACGGTGTCAAACTAAGGCGAACTACAGGGGTTCACTCATTCGTGGGATTTGGATGGATTTGGCAAGTTTGCATGAATCATACATGTCGATGTAATCAAGATATTTCAAGATTTCAGCGCCAATCGATTGGCATCTTGATGCATAGTTGCAGTATGCTTATGCAATTATGCAGGTGAAATGTGGTGCACCCAATAACAAAGCATCCCCAATATCACCATTTTTATGGGTAAAAATCAGCCCCAAAATATCGACTGAAACTGGTGCGCTTTGCGCCCCAGGATCCACCTGCCAAGAAGCTTTTGGAAGTGTTGCCCGTCAGTCTTTCGGCCATGTTTTTGGGGGATGCCGGGATGGCGATAGCGTGGCCCCATTTGGACTTTTGGAAGGGTGATCCTCAATTAGTAGATCAATAATGTAAAGAATGTTGATACTTCGGGTGTCGATGATGCAATTGAGAGCCCAGGTCACTTCACAGTGAGTTTGAAAATGCACTTGACTGCATGATACTGGATGATACTGGTGTGTTTTTTCAAGCAACTTTTGGGATAAGAGAGTGGTCTGCCTGGCTCATGCAGGATAATTTTGAGGTGATACTCATCTGATACTAACTTCTAGAAGATCGGATGGGTAGTGCTCATTAGTGGTTTGAAGTGTTGTGTGCAGTAGTTTCCTTTCAACCGTCAAGTTGGCGTGCTGAGTCAACATGGGTTTCACACGTTTTCAATGCCCAGGTCATGAACGGAACCCCCAACCAGGTGACGGAAAATTTTTGTGACCACATGTGACCATGGAATCCCAAAAAATGGCCAGGGAAAACAAAAAATGGTCACTTTCCAAAGCGTGGAACGGTGGTTCCAGGCTACCAAGAGAATGAAGCCCAACGGGACATGGAGGAGCGGCAAGGTGGGGGGGTCCCTTTGGGGCTGGGTCGGTTAGTCCAAACACTGAAAAAAGCGGTACTGTTATTCCCAAAAAAGATAGAGAAGGTAAATCGATGAAATAGTGACAATTGATGATAATTGGATATAATTGGTGTGTGTGTGTGTGTCTGATCTTTTTGGGGATGACTATAGATGTATTTAGAGCTCATGGGCTTTTATACGTTATCGAATTTTATGTGCAATTATATATACATATATATATATGTGTGTGTGTCCTTAATGGGATTTATAAATCAACTCAAAACTGCCAGGGCACCACCTTTGTATTTTGCTGGATGGGTTGAAGCAACAGTTGAACCCGCCAACCAGCAGGGCTTGGTTTCGAGATGATCAAGGCTTGCTGGTAAGTTACACGCACCTACCTCATCTAGTGAACCCTATAGATTCCACGAAATCCTGTTGGTAGCCATCCTGATAGAAACCATGCAACCCAGCTGACTCGCTGTATGGGTGACCAGCCAGGCCCAAAAGATTTGGATGCTGATTCCAGGGGCTTTTATGGCAGGTCCTTGTCGTTTGTGAGGCTATCACTTCGCTTTCTTGGACTACTACCGCCGCTATTGTGAGGTGAAGACGGAGGTCGGGTCGACTTTCATGGATTCCTGGGTCGCGTTTCTGAAAGCCTGGAATCCAAGAGCCTTTAGGGTGAGCCAGTTCTGGTGCATTCTGTGGGGCCATGCCATGAAACCTCTAGGCATGGATTCCAGTTGTAGCTGCTGTGGCTGGTGCAATTGGGGCCCATAGGACCCGGAGTCTGTGGACAGCTCTGCACAGAAGGAGGAGGACTGGGTGACGGTGACAAGGTGGGTGCCAAAACTGGCGGTTTCAAACAACAATTGTCAGATATACTCTGGTAAACTAACGTGATGTACTTTTTCCGCGTATAACGATAGGTTTTTCCACGTTAGGTATGTGTAAAATGGTCATATCCCCATGATAGCCACGTTAGTTGCGTCCTCCTTTTGATAAATCTATGTTATACGTGCGGTGGAGAACAGGATGATAGCCACGTTAGTGGGATTCCTTCCATGTTGGAAACCTTGAATGGTGTAAAATGATAGCCACGTTAGTGGGCTTCCTTCCTTGTTGGAAACCTTGAATGGTGTAAAATGATAGCCACGTTAGTGGGCTTCCTTCCATGCTGAAAACCCTGAGTGCTGTAAAATGATAGCCACGTTAGTGGGCTTCCTGCCATGTTGGAAACCTTGAATGGTGTAAACTGATAGCCACGTTAGTGGGCTTCCTTCCATGTTGTAACCTTTGAGCTGTAAAATGATAGCCACGTTAGTTGGTTTTCCTTGGCCAGGGTCTCTGGGGAACATGCTGGTCTGGGAGACCCAAGTGATAGTCACGTTAGTGCTGTAAAATTCGAAAACGCAGAGTTACGTTAAATTACCGGAGGGTATATATATATATATACTCTCTTGCAATTTAACATTGTAATGGAAGAATCCCAACTCAAAATGCTGAAAACACAAGGTAATCATGTGTTAATGGGCGATTTTCCATTGCAAGGTTGAATTACCGAAGGTGATGTTCATCTCTCAACGCCGATTGGGATGATCGCCAATTGGCTACTACTGTTAAGAGGGCTGAAACCACCAGCAAGAACATGAGCGTCCAATAGAAATTCGACACATAACAGAACCCCAGAAAGACCATACCCAATCAGAAACTCATGTTTTCAACGATGTTCAAACCAATTGTTCTACTTGTATGTTGAGTTTCAGGCGTGTATATCTATAGGCAATGGCTTGAACCACCACCACCAATCAGCTGGGAAGGAGAGCCTGAAAGCGCCGAATCTCGACTGCTTTGGTTCATGGGTTTGACATGGTTCGAGCTGCTAAGGTGTCAGACCTGATGTTTATCAATCCTTGATTCATGGGATGATTAATATCCAGCTGATCACCAGCTTTTGTGTGAAAGCTAAGTGGGGGGTTGAAACATAACCAGGTTGTTTCATGGATGTTTCCGCTGGGAGCAAGCTGCTACAAGATTGTGGCAGGTGCATCACCACCATCAACCCTAGATGAATGTCGCTTGAACATATGATTGAGCCATGTTAAACCGTTCTTTAATCTTCTTCAGTTCTTCGTGATGTGAGACGATCCCAAATTAACCTCTGTTGAGGGGATACCATTTTCGTCGCAGATGAAGCCACTATTTCAGGGGGGAAACTCCAGAATTCCCCCCAATTTTCCCATATTTTCCCTAGTTAATCATCCAGGGTTTAGTCTCATCCAGGGTTGACGTTTGGATTCCCATGGGTTCCCATGATGTCACGTTGTGTCCTTGAGGCTGTCCACGCCGACTCTCAGCAACCCACTTCGCGATGATGAGCATGGGCCTGGATCCCAGGGTCAACCTTAGATAGTTGGGTGCCGATTTTTTTGAAAGGAACGGGGTATCATGATTAGTATAGTATATTAAATTCACTTGAATTGTTTATTCTTGTTATTATTACTACGATTATTACTGTTCTTATTATTACTGTTCTTGTTATTACTATTATTGTATAGTATTATTGTGTATTATTATTGTTATGAATAAAACGGTTGTTACTATTATAAAAAAAAATATGGTCTGTGTATATATATATGCTGACCAGCGAAAAAAAATGTGTGCAGGGCATCTAAGATTCTAAGATTGGCCATGGACAGACTGTGAAATGGTGGATTGGGCGATTGGGTCTGAAACTCCTGGGACCAGCTGTTCATCTGTGGCATCCCTCAGCCAAACAAGATTTGAATAGATATAGGTCTGATATGAGATGATTTGCCATCCCAAAAATACTCGTAGGTGACAAGACCCCTTAAAAGAGCTATCTATCTATCTGTCTGTTTGTCTGTCTGATTCTGTCTGTCTGTCTGTCTATCTATCTCCCTATCTATCTATCTATCTACCTATCTATCTCCCTATCTATCTAATCTAATCTAATCTAATCTAATCTAATCCTATCTATCTATCTATCTATCTATATATATATATACATATACATATATATATATATATATACACATATATATATACATATATATATATATGTGGGTTCCATATGGAATGATTTTGGGTCGGCTATCGAATCGGACAGGAAAATGCGCAAACCACCCCCCAAACCCCAAAGGAGCAAACATGGCAACTTGCATGAAATCTAACTAGATGCCTCTATCTACATGATTTTACATGCCTTTTCAGTTGCATCGACGTGTCGGCCCGAACATTCAAATATATCATAAAATCATCATGAAAGCAGATTGCATGTCTTTTTGTTTGCCTCCCTATTGCTCCAGTCGTGACATAGACCGTAGACACATCCAAAACCTCCAACGCAGGATGTGCAGTCAACAAGTGTCACTTGATGCACCTAGGCTACCAGACAGGGAACAGCAACGCTTAGCAGCTGAGGTGCAGGGGTCGTGCAGCTGGAGTTCCGTTGAATTCTCTGGCAGGGGTTTCAGTTCAGAAGAAGAAACAGTATATATATATATATACACAGTACGTGATATAAATATATATTCTACATGATGCTCAATGCTGCTCCTCCCCATCTATGTTAGGACATGTTTTCTTGGGAGGTGCCTTTTCATATCATCAGTGCATGTGAGATTATGTCTTAGTTTCAACTTCCAGACTCGGGGCAGGAAACTTCTCCAGCAACCAGCAGTAGATGTCCTTATCCCATTGTTTAGTTGGTCAATAGAGGGGCCGGGGCCAACCCCAGTGGAGAAGCAAGGCAAAGGATGGCCAATGGTATACCAAAATGTAAAAAGGGCAAGTGTCCAAAAGGGAAAGGATGCAGAGTTTTCTGCTATATTTGAGGCTATTCAATCCAATTGAATCGTAGTGTGCGATGGTAAAATCCCAATTTTTTGGTGAAAATCCCCATTTTCACCGGTGAAATCTCTATATTTTGAGGGCTTTCCCATCCCCCATGGGCTTCCCCGCAGGTGAAGAACCTGTTGGCCCGGATTCGTCCCTTTGAAGAGCCCAGTGAGCTGGTGAAGGTCTGTCAGGACCTCATCAAGCTGCTGGCGCCAGGCGGACTTTTGCGGGAAAAAATAAACAAAACGAGAAGAGAAACCAATGGCTTTTGGGATCATTATAGGTAAACATAGCAATGGACAATCCCTGATGTCAATCATGGTTAATCCACATTTAGATCTGGTTGGTGGTTTCAATCATGTTTTATTTTCAATTAATATAAATATGGGATAATTGTTTATCATTGACTTTCGTATTTTTCAGAGTTGAAACCACCAACCAGATCATGATGAATCCGTAACAAAGAGTTGCTCCAACCCATTGCGATGTTTGATTGGTTAGTGACTACAGTGTTTTTTAAGGTCAAAGTAAAATCGAAGCCGATAGTATTTGGGGTGTTGGCAGCAACCCTGAAAACACCTTTGCATTTGGGAATGATGATCAACCATATTTGGGTTTGGGATGATATGACAAGGAATACGGTTGGTCGTTTCAACCATTTGTTTATGTTCGACCATAGAAATGAGATGATGATCCCCATTGCCAAGTAGTAATGCCGTTTCAGGGGTTTGAAACCATCAGCCAGACAAGATCTTGATAGAAGCGATACGTGGATAATATATATACGTATATATTTATATGTATATTGTGAATGAACAAATGATCCCAGTCATGTTCTTGCTTTCTTGTCACATGTGCACAGCCTTTCATACATGTTCCATGAGGGTCCAACTCCAGACGTGGAAATCCTCGGCCGCTTTGGCTGACTGGCAGCTTGTGGTGGGAGGGCTGAGGAAGCGCTTGAAGCCATAGGATTGAGGCCAATCCTTTCTGGTTTGCTGAGGACAGCATTTATCGGTGGCATCAGTGCCTTTGGTTCTCCTGCTTGGGAAGCCTAGCAACATTTACCATCTTGGCTGCTTGTGAAAAAGATCTCGAGCGTTTTGGAGGTGGTGAAGGGGAATTTCTACCAGTGTGGAGCGATTCACACTGGTAGCGGAGCTACCCAATAAAGCTCCAGGGGACCTTTGATAACATCTGGTGGTTTTTCTGAATGTCTGAGGAAACTGCAACAGCAGCTTCGACCGATGGGAACACTGCTTCATCGAATCACATGGCCACACTGGTGCCAACATTCGATCCGTCAAAGGATGACTTAGAACAGTATACGCAAAAGGTAGAACTGCTTAGTGAGATTTGGCCTGCAGCAAAGATCAATGAGTTGATCACTCGCCTCATCTTGAACACGAGTGGAACTGCTTTTCAGAAACTTCAACTGAACAAATCTCAGTTGATGACAAATGACAAGAAAGGAGTGCAACTACTGGTCCAGCTCCTTGACGGCCAGTGGGGAAAAGTCAATTTGGAGAAAAAGTACGACATTGTGGAGAGAGCACTTTTCCGTTGCCTTCAGAAACAAGATGAATCCAACGATTCTTTCCTAGCCCGTTGTGACGTTGTTTGGTCTGAACTTCTAGCCAAGAAGGTGCAGTTGGAAGAAATTCAATCGTACATAGTCCTCAGAGGGTCTCGTTTGAGCACAGAGGATAAGAAACGTGTCATTGTCGAGAGTGAATCATCGTCAAGTGGAGCTTTGAACATGGAGAAGGTCACACAATCTGTTCGCATGCTGGGTACTTCATTTTTCAATGAGATGATTGGTCAAAAGGCCTCCAAGGGCAAGATTTATGAATCCCAAGTGATGCTAGCTGAAGATCAAGATGACTTTCAACATGATGGGTCTGCATACGTAGCTGATGAATATACCGAGGATGAGTTTGTAAGTCAGTTACTGCAAGATGATGATGAAGATGCAGCCTTGATTGCCGACTATGAATCGATGGCCGCAGATGTGCTGCAAGGAGACCTTGCTGCCACATACAACGCATACGCAGATGCCAGGAGAAGACTCTCCGACCGTTTCAAGCATAGAGGATTTTGGCCAGTAGGTCAAGGCAAAGGTTCAGGCAAACCGTCCGCACCAAAGGGCAAAGGGAAGCATCTCAACAAGGGTTCCAAGAAAAGTCTTCAACAGAGGATCCTTGAAAGCCATTGTCGATTGTGTGGTAGGAAGGGTCATTGGCGTGCGGAGTGTCCCGACCGGACACGTTCGAATGCATCAACTGGTTCCACGAATACATCAGCAGCCATGACCGTTTCAGCAGTGTCCCAGTCCATGGAAGAGTCCGATGCGCTTCCAATGGAGTTCATGCAGCTTCCGATGGTGCATGAGGAAACCCTAGATGTTCCCAGTTGGCAAGAAATTCATGTTGTTGTTTCATCCATGGAGGAAATTCGGGATAGACTCCGTAAGTTGGGTAAACGGGGTAAAGGGGAAGATAATCAAAACCCGAATGAAAGCCTGCCCAGGAATGAACGAATCACAGAGCAACCTGAGAGCCGTTTTGTGGCATCCGTGAGAGAGCAGCCAGCAGTAGCATATTTTTCCACGTATGGCACTTGTGGCATACTTGACACAGGTGCGTCGAAGTCAGTGATGGGTAGCAAATTGCTACCTGCCTTACTTGAGGGCCTTCCAGTTGAGATGAGACAGCAGGTGTTCAGGACATCATGTGACATCACCTTCAGATTCGGAAATCAAGGTACCTTGGATAGCCAACATGCCTTAGTTATCCCCTTAAAATCTGTAGGTCTGGGTCTCAAGATTGCAATCGTGCCTGGCGAAACACCGCTGCTGCTGTCCAACACACTCCTGAGGACTCTCAAAGCCAGTTTGAACAGCGAGCATCACACGTTGTCCAGTCCTTTGTTGAACCAGGTTGTCAAACTTAAGCTGAGTCCCAGAGGACTCTACATGCTTGATCTGATAGATTTGCTTCGTGCCCAGAAGGATTTGCAAGGACCTCGTGATGCAATAATGGCCGAAACTTTCATGAGCAGTGATTTTTCCAGCGAAAACCAGCAAGCTGAAACGTGTCAGCCAAGCCTCAGTGAAAGTCAAGGTAACAGTTTGAAGTCACTTTCAACACCAACAGGCCCAGGTACACAGGGACATGTTCACATGACCAGCCGAAGCCAGGGCAGTGAGTGTAGTTTCGAATGTACAGAGATCTCCCGGCCCAAGCCACCATCAACCGAGTTTCTCCACCTTGTTGCAAAGGTAAATAACTGTGATAACCATGAGCCAACATCGTATCACCTTTGGTCGCACTCACGTCGGGAAAACATTTGCAGAGATGTGGGATCAGGAGAAGTCATGGATGAAATGGTTCGCCAAGACTCACGCCAGCAGCACCAAGCCCGAGCACCTGAAAGTACTGGCTTATCAGGAAAAGGTGTTGGATCAGTACGAGGGGAGCCATGGCATGGTGCCTCTGAAGAATCCCGAAGATCTGCAAGGGGTGATGTTGCCTCGATCCAAATGCATGCCCAAGAGCAAGGCCATGCCGGCACATCAAGTGCCTGTGGAGGTGATCGAGGAGATTGTGGATCCCAGCAACCCGCGGGATGTCATGGACTACACAGCACTGCAACAGGACCAGACCAACGAGAAGATCGAGGCACTCCAAGCTCGAGTACTGAACATGGAAGGTGCCATCAGCGAGATCTTAGGACATCTCCGTCAGGGGAAGTGAATCATGCTCTTCGGATGTTGTGCCAGGCTGGTGACATTGATGCCGGGTTTGAAAATAACCCAACTGCAGAAGCCCATTTCAGTACAAACACACCAAATCACTTACACTACAAATTCCATAAACTTGTTCAACAGTTTACCAGCGAATTGAAGTCAATTTCACAATCATGTTCCCAGAAAGGCACACCAATTCAAGTCTTGGAAGTCTTTTGTGGACCTCAGAGTGAGCTCACCAAGCAAGTCAATAACTTGGGGTATAAAGGGGTTAGGCATGGTTTTCAAGAGGGTGACCTTGCAACTGAATCCGGCCGAGCCGTTCTTTTTACCAAGTTAATTGAGGGGCAACCTCGAAGTCTCTGGTATAGCCCTACATGTAGTCCTTGGTGTGCCTGGAGCGCAATGAATGCCGCGCAGACTGAGGCAGGGTTCAAGACAATCCAAGCTCTCCGACAGCAACATATGTACCAACTGGCATTGGGCATTGTGCTTTTCCGTTTCCAGAGACAGAATGGCAGACACATGCACTGGGAGCAACCTGCTCGATCACTCATGACCAGGTCTCCGATGTTGCGTGAAGTAATGGAAAACACATACCTTGCCCAATTCGACATGTGCAGAGTAGGAGGCATGCGTGACCCTGTCAACCAACTTTTGTACAAGAAGGGAATGGAAATCCTTACCACGTCCTATCAATTATACAGCCAACTTCACGGTCGTAAGTGTAACCACCTTCATCAACACCAAACACTTGAGGGAGAAACAATGTTCAAAGGTCACCGCATGAGAAGAACTGAATTTTCTGAGAATTACACCCGAAAGTTTGCCCGAACGTTGGCCCAAGTGCTTACCAAAGTCAAGATGATTAAGGAAGCACCACTGCATGTTGCCGAGCATGAACCTTCGTTTGCAATCTCAGGAGCCAAGAGAAGATCCGTTTCTGCCGGTGTCCAAAGTGCCAAACGAGCAAAACTGAAAGAGGGTAGCATCAAAAGTGTCTTGATCAACCCAGAAATGTTGCTGTCCAAACGTAGGAGACTTTCTGGAAAGACCCAAAGTGATGATACCCCAAAAGTGTTGTGTGAACAAGTTTGCAACAGGGTACTTGAGATCATGCCGAAGGTTGGACGCAAAGAGATCAATGACCCTCAAGTAAAATCCATGTTGCAAGAAAGTTTGGGGATAAACAAGTACAAAGAATAATTGCATGTAAGGGGACTGAAAGAACGTTAGTACCACCAAAAGATCTCATGCGAGGAGAAGCCCCGTACCGCCGTGCGGTAATCATGCAGAGAAACACCCGAAATGTACTGGTTGAAGATCAATGGGAGGAATGGGAAGACTTGTCATTTAGGCAGCAGTGGAGGAGATCGCATCCAAGCTACCTAAATATAACAGTTTTTGCCTGCAATCCCAATGCTGAAGTAGCAAGCTCTGCCAAGCCAGTAATTCAGGAAGTGGAACCAGCTGGACCGAGCCAATCTGCGACCTTGGATGGGTCATCCGTAGATGCTGCAATGCCTGAACCAATGCATCCGATGCCAAGTCCAGCCAGATTAGAATCCCAAGAAACAGCATCCGAGAGTTGCGAGCCAAGCCAAGTCGATCTGAACAGTTCCAACCATGGTCCCCGGTTCTTAACCATGTCACCCGAAAATAAGAAGATAGCATTAAGGCTACATAAGAACCTAGGCCATCCAGACCCCCAAAAATTAAGTCAGGTACTTAAACAGAGGGGTTACAGCACTGAACTGTCTCAGGGAGTTCTGGATCTGAAGTGTTCCGTGTGTCAGATGACACAAAAGCCCAAACTGCAGCGACCGGCAACCCTGAAGGAAGCCTTAGAATTTGGAGACAAGATATCTTTAGATGGAGTGAAGTGGACCCACAAAGATGGTCGAGAATACAATTTTTACCACTTCATAGACCATGGCACCAACTATCATTCTGCTGTTGTCGCTCCGAATCGTGCAGAGATTCAGGACCGTTTCACTCAAGGATGGCTTAGTTGGGCTGGTACTCCAAATGAAGTGATTTTAGACTCAGCGACAGAGTTTGTCTCCAAATCGTTTGAAAGCTTTCTGCAAGGCCTGGGGATCAAAGTCACGGTTGTCCCTCCAAATGCGCACTGGCAGATGGGGCGCATAGAGAGACATGGAGGAGTGCTCCAAAACATGTTGAGTAAGTATGAACTAGAACACGAAATCACCAACTACTCACAGTTGCAGCAAGCATTAGCACAGTGCACTACAGCAAAAAACACATGCGGAATCCGACAGGGGTATTCCCCAGAAATGCTAGTGTTTGGAAAAAGCGCCAGAATTCCAGGCTCACTAACTGGCGATGATGAACTACCCACACATGCCAAAGCATGTGAGGAGACGTCCGAGGGCTTACGTTTCCGGGAGATGTTAGCTCGCCGAGAAACAGCTCGCCGAGCTTTTCACTCAGCTGATAATGACATGTCTCTTCGCAGGGCCGCCTTACGTCGTGAGAGACCACACACAGGGGTTCGTATGAAGCTGGAGAGTGGGTCATGGTGTGGAAAGTGGTTTCCAACCAAGGATCCTGGTATGGCCCCGCAAAAGTCATCCAACAGGATGGTTCCAACGCAGTGTTTTGCAACAATATGGGATCCATCCTCAAAGCAGCACCCGAGCATGTCAGACCTGTCAGCGCCGTAGAAGCTCGCCTGATCCCCCTGGATCAAATTGCCGATGACAACGGGCCGAGAAGTGAACACCGTGATATCCCAACCATGGACAGAAATGCCACTGAACCAATCATCCCAGAAAGCAGCAACCCCAATAATAATCCCATCACAAACAATAACCCAGTACCCACTAATCCCAGTGGAATAATCCCTAACGATACCAATAGTCCACCTCAAAGAACCCCAAGTCAGAGCTCAGCAGATCAACCTGACCAAGAGCCTGAAAATGCCGAAACACCAAGAGAGACTGAAAACGACACCACCATCCCAGAACTAGACACTAGACAACCTCATGAAATTCCAATCCCTGATGATACTGCCGATGAGCTAGTCTGTGACCTCCTAACGTGCCATGATGTGGAAACAGAAATTGGACCAGATGGACAAGACCTTTTCTGGCGAACAGAACTGGAAATCAGTCCCGAACAGCTGACAAATGCCATGCAAAGCCAAAATCAAAATCGCGAAGAAGCTTTCCTTTTCCTTGCGACCACTACAAAAAGACAGAGAACAGAAGTCAAACTTAGCACTCTAGATCCTGCGGAACGACAGGAGTTTGAAAATGCGAAAAATAAGGAAGTGAACAACTGGCTACAGACAGGAACAGTAGCAAAAATTTTTCGTCATCAGATTTCTCCAAAACAGATCCTCAGGTGTCGATGGTTGTATGTTTGGAAACCTCTAGAAGACCCCAAGGAAATCAAAGAAAATAATGGAAAGTCAAGAAAGGCAAAAGCGAGGTTAGTAGTTTTGGGCTACATGGACCCACAACTAGAAACTATCCCCAGAGATAGCCCGACACTAGGACGAACCTCAAAGATGTTGATTGCACAGGTCATTGCATCCATGCGATGGACACTCATGTCATTCGACATTAAGGCAGCGTTTCTACAAGGCAAAACACAGGAAGACAGACTGATAGCTGTGGAACCCGTCCCTGAAATGGTGAAAGCGATGAACCTCAAACCAAGTGAAGTTTGTAGACTAGTGAAATCAGCGTATGGTTTAATTGATGCTCCTTTCTTATGGTATACAGAACTGGACCAGCAATTGAGATCCCTGAATTTCATACCATCTCCATTTGATCCTTGCTTATACCTACTATATGAAGAAGGAAAAGATGAGCCAGCGGGTATCTTGGGGGTACACGTGGATGACGGCCTTTGCGGAGGAAACCAATACTTTCACGAAATGATCAAAAGGCTTGAGGCCAAATTCCCATTTGGGTCGCGTAAAACGCAGTCATTTGTCTTTACGGGAATAGAAATGCACCAACAAAACGACTACTCAATTGTCATGTCACAAGAAAAGTACGTTTCCAAAATCAATCCAATTCACATCCAACCACAACGAAAAATACAAGAAAACCTTCCAGTCAGAGAGAGAGAGAGAGACAGGACTTAAGAGCACTGATAGGATCACTCCAGTATGCATCCGTGAACACGAGACCAGACCTGTCAAGCCGCTTAAGTTTTCTGCAGAGCGAAGTGAACAAAGCGACCGTGGAGACTCTCATCCAGGGAAACAGAATTCTTCATGAAGCCAAGAAATACAAGGATACGCATGTCAGAATCCAACCAATTCCCATGGACCAGATACGGTTCCTTGCTTTCTCTGACGCATCATTCGCTTCCAAGAAACAACCAGAGTCACACACAGGAACAATTATCATGACCACTCATGCGGACATAGGAAAGAACCATGTATGTCCAGTAAATCCAATCAGTTGGGGCTGTAAGAAAATTCAAAGAGTTGTCACCAGCACGCTGTCAGCAGAGACCACGTCCTTGAGCACAACCTTGGACCAGCTGTCATGGTTGAGACTTTTTTGGAGCTGGATACGGAATCCCAAGACAGATTGGAAGAATGCAACCACCACACTCAATAAACTTCCAGAAACTTTTGCGACAGCCACGTTCAAAGAAGACCCCTCAATAGCAGTCACCGATTGTAAATCATTGTTTGATTTGGTCACTCGGACTGCTCCACCCAGTTGCCAGGAATTTCGTACACAACAACAGGCAAGAGCCATTAAAGACTTGCTGGCTGAAGGGGTAAGGCTTAGATGGGTTCACACGGGAGCACAGCTGGCAGATGCATTAACCAAAATTATGCAATGTCATTTTCTCCGTCAGACCCTCCAATGTGGCAAATACTCCTTACATGACGAGACTGAGATCCTCAAAGAAAGGGCATGTAACAGAACCAGGGTGAAGTGGCTCCAAGCTACCACAAGTGGAGAAAGCAAAGATCAACAAGAAAAGTAGAAAATTCTTGTTTTTACGAGTGTGAATGAACAAATGATCCCAGTCATGTTCTTGCTTTCTTGTCACATGTGCACAGCCTTTCATACATGTTCCATGAGGGTCCAACTCCAGACGTGGAAATCCTCAGCCGCTTTGGCTGACTGGCAGCTTGTGGTGGGAGGGCTGAGGAAGCGCTTGAAGCCATAGGATTGAGGCCAATCCTTTCTGGTTTGCTGAGGACAGCATTTATCGGTGGCATCAGTGCCTTTGGTTCTCCTGCTTGGGAAGCCTAGCAACATTTACCATCTTGGCTGCTTGTGAAAAAGATCTCGAGCGTTTTGGAGGTGGTGAAGGGGAATTTCTACCAGTGTGGAGCGATTCACAGTATATGTATATATATATATGATGGTGGTAGACATGTATCTGGTTTAGAGAAGTGTGGTGGTTGAAGGGCATTGGCTCTTGCAGTCATTTCTGGATTGCCGACAGCCCGCCACATCAATGAGAAAGAGGTTTGGCCTGCAGAAGGACTGTAAGATTGTAAGAAAACACGAGAACATCTTGTATAGAAATCATTGACGTGGGTTAACTCTATATCTACATATGCATGTGTATATATATATACATATACATATTATATGTTTATACCTATACATATGCATATATATATAATAATTATTTATTTAGTTATTTATGTAGTTAGTTAGTTAATTATTTATTTATTTATGTATCCTCAAACCCACAGATTATCAATCTAATCATTCGGTTACTGTAATCAGCATGTCCCTTCTAAACATGGCAATTTCCGCGGGAGTATACCCAATGATGGTTAAATCCCAATGTTTCACTATTTGATTGGTAAAAAAAAACATACCTACTACATAAACCATATCAGAATCTAATTTTCCCATTCAAAATGAGATGAAATGAGATGAAATGAGGAGATCTTGGAGATTACTGTACGCCGTACGTTCCATCGCCAGGTCGGGGCAGCCCAGAGACCAAGGAGAGCGTCCATCAGTTGGTGATGCAGCATGGGGCCGTGCCCATTGTTGAGATGCTTCAAGTCACTTGGATGACCTTGGATGATCCCATGAGTCATTCATTGAGAAAATGACTTTTTGATGGGGGAAAATGATTGAAAATGACAAGAGTTCTTCAAGAAATCATGGAAAACTCATCGATTTTTGGAGATATGTTCCCATCCTTCAAAATGACAGGATTTCTTCAAGTCACTTGGATGACTCCAATGGATGAATCTCAAATTTGGATCTCTGGATGGAGAAGAATCGATAGAAAACGAAGAAACATCTGGGTTAATAAGTCCAATTTATGTGATTCTTTGGACTAATATCATAACCCAATATCATAAAACATCTGGAGAAGAATCTGACATACTGCGATATAAAACCAGCAATATCATTTGCGCCTGTGTCTGAAAATGGGATATATCCTCAACTTTGTTGCCATTGAATTATAGGGATATTGCTGATATACTGATATTAAATATACTATTGAATTTAAAGTTTGGGCTGCTGTATTTTCAGAAAAAACCATAAATGATGGAATTGTAGCAATACACTCATATAGATGTTCAAGTATGTTTAACCTTGTTGGGAACGGATGGGTTTACCATGGTTTGCTATTTGTCCCACTAAAGATACTAAAGAGTCAACGTTTAGCAGCGAATCAACCCACAACCAAGATCACACCGAAGTCTGGTGTCAAAGGATCTAAGCCAATTCCGGGTTGAACCGCAAGGGAAATCCTTTAGGGTTTGGGAGATGGGTGCCAGCAAGGTGCCTGACGCCAAACTGCAGGATTCCGTGCTGAAGGCGCCTAACATGTGTTAACAATCAACATTAATTGTCTAGCTTCACATCTTCACCAAATCCACATGGGCAGGTGGTGAATCAGATAGTGGCCGATCGCAGCCGTGGTTTCCAGTTCCAGGCGCAGGGTTCTTGGGAATTTGAAAGGGTAATATTATGTATATATGTGTGTGTGTGTGCGTTTTATATTATTATATATATATATTATACATATATATATATATTATATATACACGTTATATATATATATGTATAGTAGTTGTTCCATATTTGTTTAACTTACTATTCCTTAAATCCCTTTAAGAAGATGTATATATATCTTATAGATATATATATATACAGACATGAGAGATTTACCGCTTCACTACTCACCCACGAGGAGCTCTTCAGCATGGTGGGCTTGATCCCAGAAGTCCTGAAGTTGGCCCGCACCGACGTTCAACGCTCGCTGCGCCAGGAGGCCTTGTGGGGGCGTAGGAAGATTTGCCATTATATGCCATTATTGCAGAAATATCTTGGAAGGGGGAGGTAGTTTCTGTGCCACTTGTTGCAGTTTACCTTCAATTGATTTGTTTCACGCAAACTTTTTGCAGGAACTCCTGACCATTTTTCCTGATATGTGCTCGTATTTCAAAGCATGGTTTCATGATGTTTCATGAAAATTTGCTCACATCAATCCATTTCCAGCATCCCAGTTTGCTAGTGTCTAAGACATGTCAAAAGCCTCGTTTCATGTAAATGTGTTCACTTAAGATACCACTCGATTGTTAACTTTGCAAAGCCAGGTGGGCTAGTCTGAAAATAGTGGAATTACTTCATTCCATCTACTGGTGACCCACCATTTTCCCACATGTTCCCCATGAAACAGCCATAACTTTGGCAGTACGTATCCGCACTATATATCCCCCAGCCAGGTGGGAAGATTCATCTCACACCTCTGCAACTCTTCTGAGAGCAGCTTGCAAATGCTGGTGGCTTGTGGTGGTTTGGAGGCTATTGTGGAGCTGATTTCCTCCGAATACTTCCACAACCCCGACTTGGCACCTGGACTTGCAGTGGGAGGAGGGTCAAAGATGAGTGGATCCTTTGATCTGATAACCTGGACATGGGAAATCCAGAAATTCGTATGTTTTTAGAAAGAGAATAGTGGTACAATGTCATGAAATCAATGAAAATCATGTGCAAATGGGTTTGTCATGGTATGTAAAACTGATAGAACTCATGAAAATGGATGGGTGACAGTTGCACACAAGAAAAAGACAACTTGTTTCGACCCATTGGTAGCCGATCTTTTCCCCCAGATCCATGGGATATGGCAGACTTGACCAAGGGAAAAATCACCTTGGGAGGGTTCCCACCATCCGCTGATATCGAAACATTGAGAACATTCTACCCTCCAGTGCAGAAACATACATGAACTTTCATTCACATAGATTCTATAGATATGGATGATATGGAAAGCTGAACGTAAATAATGTTCCGAACAGGAAACCATGGATAACGGTATAGCAACCAACAAGAATCCAACAGACAGAAAAGATTTGGTCAAATTTGCCAGAAGAGAGGGTTTTTCCTACAACTATCTAATTAGTGTATTTCATACGATTTTTTCTATATTTTTTTACAGGCGTCCTAATGTCACGGCACCGCACAAGGTCTTTCCAGCTCTGGACAATGTGAAGACCGTGCTGGACAAACGTGGTGGGCACAGCCGAGATTTGTGTCGAATCTTGGCCAAGCGTGGCATTTGCGAACACTTGGCGCCTTGGCTAAAAGATTGGGAATGTTATGGCAACATATGGCAAGCGTTTAAGTGACAATAGTATGGAATTGTATGGAATAGGATGGAATAGTGGGATATAGTGGGATCAGATGATATGGAAGTGTTTCACAGGGATCCAGGGATCCAATGTTATCCCCAATGTTCATCGGGAAAGTGAGGATCAACGAGATGTTTGATGGTGGCATTCGTTCTGTGGATGATTCTCCTCAATTTCTGTAGGCCTGGGTTTGGTCTTGTTTGCACAGTTGCACCTGTTTCTGCTGCAGCATCCATGCGTGTTTCAGCGAGTTGTGAGTTGCCAGACGCCTCAGAGAGGGCCCGAAATCATAGGCATTCCGGGGATTCAACATGATTCAACCAACCCTGCCAAAGGTGGCTTCCCAATGCTAATGGCTTATAGAATGGGCCTATTAAGCACTAAGAACCACTAGGAAGGCAAGAGCTTTTCAACCATCTATAATTGAGGTGGTCACCTTTGTAAATGGTTTGTCAACCCCCGTGCATGCATCTTTCATCGATGTTGGGCATTGGAAAAATCATTCAGAAATTCAGGTTCAATTGATCGACACCTTGGCCAGTGACATGGGCTACTACATGGATCGAGCTGCACAATATCTCCATGTGGTGGTATCCCTCTTGGTCTTCTTCGCGAAGACAGGGGATGCAGTGGTGAAGGCCTACATGGCCAAGGCCACGGTCTTGGAGGGCTTGGTGGCTTCCATGGAGTTTTTGCCCCCGGAGCTGATCTTGGAGATTTGTCACTTGGAAAGCCATCAGAAATGCATCGAAATGATGGGAAAACCCTGCTGAGATGTGGGATAAACAAGACTAACCCGATACGAAACCATCCCATCTTTTCCAGAATGTGGCAAGCCCAATGCTTATATAACCATCCACTATGACCTCTCAATAAAATATAGCTAGCTTTGCAATTTGTTCACTATTCCCAACAGGAGGTTTATCGCATCAAATCAGATTTGGCTGATTTTGACTGCGTTTTCGCAGCACCTCAAGGATCGAGTTGGAGGTTTATATATATATAGATATATAGAGGTGTATGGGTTTATGGCACTGGGTTTCTCACATGATTTGCGTGATGATCTCCAAGCGTCCGAGGTAAGATTTTCACGGAGCTGACCCAAGAGCCGTCTGTCCTGAACATGATGGAGAGCCTTGGAGCGCCAGAAGGCCCCAATTTTGTGGGTTACGGGTTATCTTCATAGAAATATATTATATATATAAATATATACATGCATCTCTAGGTATATGGAGAGAGAGATATACATGGAGATGGATAGATAAATCCAATGAGACAGAAGAAATCTATTGTATATGTACATGTATATATATATATATTCACCAACTTATTTAAACTAGATATAATCATAAATCATGCGCGCTGATAGCTACTAACTCGTTCCTCCCCAACCCGAGCTCCCGAGGAACTCGGGCCTGGTGCCTGTGATGGTTCACCACATGACGGTCCCACAGATCGAAGTTGGCGAGTCCCCAGTGGATGGCGAACCGCAGGAGACCAAAAGTGCACGGGTGACTTGGGATATGTTGTGATGTTTCACGGGATATGAATATAGATAGAGATACTGTATATATATACAGTATATCGTAGTATTATATATAGCAATACATGTGTTTTTAATGTGTATATATATATGTATATGTATATGATGCCCGGAACAGTTAGGGAATCTATTGGAATATACTCACATTATTGTATAATATTAACCAGGATGCAAAAACTGTGGATGGAAGAAATCCTGCACCAGTTGGTAGATGGTTTATCCGAATCCCGTTTATCCCATTGTTTATAGGGGTTCAACCATCCAAGGTGGTGCAGGATTTTTTCCATCCACAGTAGGTCATGCATATTTAATTGGGAATACAATATAATATAACATGATATAATATGATATACTTATATAATCGTATATGAGCATGAATTGCAGCATCATTGGCTTAATTTAATACTTTGGAACCAACAACCGGGTTGATCAATGGCTTCAAACTTGCCTATATAATAACAAGAGAGAGTTGGCATGATGGGAACTTAAAACATTTGATATCATGATTAGTTATACCATCATTGGGTTAATGATGAATATACTATCCGGGCGTCATCAAAGGTGGCTGGAAAAGGATCGAACTCAATCGGGGGATTTTCTAGCCATGCATCGATTTTCTTATGACAATTCCGGGTTCCACCGCAACAAAAAGAGTGGATTTTACCGCAAGGAGTTCCACCTGCACAGACTTGTGCCTTGAAGAAGGCCTTCAATTTTGATCCCCCATCAGCATTTGAATAATAATTTACAATTCCACTTTTAGAAGACGTGTTTGACCATCAAGACCAGGGAAATGCCACATTTATTCTCAGGTTTTGCCTCGCCATTCCCATTGTTCCAGGACGTGTGCAGTCAGTGCCTCCTCGCCCTCTCCAACTTGTGCAAGCTTTCACGTCCACGGCAGGTGACTTCAACTGCACGAAATGGGGCCAGGCTTTGGGATCATTTTGGAGGAAAACCACACGAAGGGTACCCAAAAATGGCCAGGTCTTGGCTGCTTTGACGTGTTTAAACCCATTTCGGCAGCTCGAAATATCAAAAACAACTGGTGTTTGCCGCCCAGCTCCATGTTTTTGTCGGTGCTGATGGGCTTCAAACATCTTCAAAGCATCGGTTGGAGCTGCCCGGTTGCCAGCAGACCCTGGAACCACCATGAACCACCCAACATATTTGTAGATGATGTCCTCAACAAAGTTGTGGCCAGGTTGGTTGCTTGGCTCACCTGTTTGAATGTGCATCCCAGTTAGAAGGTGGTTAGAAACCATATGGTACCGTTATACCTATACCGTATATGGGTTACTTTAGCGGACGAGCACTTAGAATATGGGAAAATCAAACTTCCGTGTTTAACGCGAATCCAGGATATATCTGTTTTCATATGTTGTTGAGACGTTTTAATTCACACATAGAATTTAAAAAATAAAAAGACCCCACACACTTAGAATATTTTGGATGTTTATGTATAGTATGATATTAAGAGAAAACCACAAAAAATCGTGTGTGTCACAGCCGTTTGCGAGGCGTCTCAAAACCCACAATCGTTTTGGACACAACTGTTGAATTTGTTTCTAAAACAACCACATTGGGTTCGTACATAATTGTTTCTAAAACAACCACATTGGGTTCGTACATAATTAGTCACTTTGTACATCAAGCAAGGCAAAGAAAAGAAACATACAGTTGGGTTGGGTTCGTTAATTCCTTCAAAACAAAGGTAAATTGCAAAACAAATGCAGCTGTCTCAAAACAATCTCAGTACATCACCACATCGGCTTGCAGTTGTTGCAATTCGTCCTGCGAAACACACTCATGGTACAGTACCAGCTGGTTGGCAGTTGTTGTTTTTGTTTGTGTAAAATTGTGCATTTATAGGCAGCGAATGCACTTAGAATATGGTCAAGGTCAAGGAAGGCACATAACCGAACAGTTTGCGGTTGAGTTCCTTACTGCGAAGCAAGCAAGGTACAGTGTCAAACAGTTTGCAGCTGTTGAGTTCATAATTGCAACACAATTTCATCCGAGCACCATATGCTTTACAGTTCTTGCACCTGGTACTGCAAAACACGCATGGTACAGTACCAGCTGGTTGGCAGTTGTTGTTTTTGCTTGTGTAAACCTGTCCATGTATGGGTAGTGAATGCACAAAACAATCAAGGTACAGTGCCAAAAAGTTTGCAACTGCTGAGTTCATGATTGCAAAACAATTTCAGTACAGTACCACGTAGGCTTGCAGTTGCTGCATTTCGTTCTGCAAAACACACTCATGGTACAGTACCAGCTGGTTGGCAGTTGTGTTTTTGCTTGTGTAAAGCTGTGCATTTATGGGCAGTGAATGCACTTAGAATATTGTCAGAGTTGCCAGAGTCGCTTGGTCCATCAAGGAAGGTGCATAACCAAACAGTTTACAGTCGAATTTGTTACTGCAAAGCAAGCAAGGTACAGTTCCCAACAAATTGCAACTGCTGAGTTAATAATTGCAAAACTACCTCAGTACAACACCACATGGTTTACATTTTTTGCATTTGGCACTGCAAAACACGTATGGTCGCCGCATGGTACATTACCAACCCGTTTGCAGTTGCCGTTTGCCTGTATAACTGTGCATTTAATTTATGGGCAGCACATGCACTTAGAATATGATCACAACTAACATAGTCACTTTGAAAATCAATCAAGACAAAGAACAGAAACATACAGTTGGGTTCGTTAATTCCTTCAAAACAAAGGTAAATTGCAAAACAAATGCAGCTGTCTCAAAACAATCTCAGTACATCACCACATCGGCTTGCAGTTGTTGCAATTCGTTCTGCAAAACACACTCATGGTACAGTACCAGCTGGTTGGCAGTTGTTGTTTTTGCTTGTGTAAAATTGTGCATTTATAGGCAGCGAATGCACTTAGAATATGGTCAAGGTCAAGGAAGGCACATAACCGAACAGTTTGCAGTTGAGTTCCTTACTGCGAAGCAAGCAAGGTACAGTGTCAAACAGTTTGCAGCTGTTGAGTTCATAATTGCAACACAATTTCATCCGAGCACCATATGCTTTACAGTTCTTGCACCTGGTACTGCAAAACACGCATGGTACAGTACCAACTGGTTGGCAGTTGTTGTTTTTGCTTGTGTAAACCTGTCCATGTATGGGTAGTGAATGCACAAAACAATCAAGGTACAGTGCCAAAAAGTTTGCAACTGCTGAGTTCATGATTGCAAAACAATTTCAGTACAGTACCACGTAGGCTTGCAGTTGCTGCATTTCGTTCTGCAAAACACACTCATGGTACAGTATCAGCTGGTTGGCAGTTGTGTTTTTGCTTGTGTAAAGCTGTGCATTTATGGGCAGTGAATGCACTTAGAATATTGTCAGAGTTGCCAGAGTCGTTTGGTCCATCAAGGAAGGTGCATAACCAAACAGTTTACAGTCGAATTTGTTACTGCAAAGCAAGCAAGGTACAGTTCCCAACAAATTGCAACTGCTGAGTTAATAATTGCAAAACTACCTCAGTACAACACCGCATGGTTTACATTTTTGGCATTTGGCACTGCAAAACACGTATGGTCGCCGCATGGTACATTACCAACCCGTTTGCAGTTGCCGTTTGCCTGTATAACTGTGCATTTAATTTATGGGCAGCAAATGCACTTAGAATATGATCACAACTAACATAGTCACTTTGAAAATCAATCAAGACAAAGAACAGAAACATACAGTTGGGTTCGTTAATTCCTTCAAAACAAAGGTAAATTGCAAAACAAATGCAGCTGTCTCAAAACAATCTCAGTACATCACCACATCGGCTTGCAGTTGTTGCAATTCGTTCTGCAAAACACACTCATGTTACAGTACCAGCTGGTTGGCAGTTGTTGTTTTTGCTTGTGTAAAATTGTGCATTTATAGGCAGCGAATGCACTTGGAATATGGTCAAGGTCAAGGAAGGCACATAACCGAACAGTTTGCGGTTGAGTTCCTTACTGCGAAGCAAGCAAGGTACAGTGTCAAACAGTTTGCAGCTGTTGAGTTCATAATTGCAACACAATTTCATCCGAGCACCATATGCTTTACAGTTCTTGCACCTGGTACTGCAAAACACGCATGGTACAGTACCAGCTGGTTGGCAGTTGTTGTTTTTGCTTGTGTAAACCTGTCCATGTATGGGTAGTGAATGCACAAAACAATCAAGGTACAGTGCCAAAAAGTTTGCAACTGCTGAGTTCATGATTGCAAAACAATTTCAGTACAGTACCACGTAGGCTTGCAGTTGCTGCATTTCGTTCTGCAAAACACACTCATGGTACAGTATCAGCTGGTTGGCAGTTGTGTTTTTGCTTGTGTAAAGCTGTGCATTTATGGGCAGTGAATGCACTTAGAATATTGTCAGAGTTGCCAGAGTCGCTTGGTCCATCAAGGAAGGTGCATAACCAAACAGTTTACAGTCGAATTTGTTACTGCAAAGCAAGCAAGGTACAGTTCCCAACAAATTGCAACTGCTGAGTTAATAATTGCAAAACTACCTCAGTACAACACCGCATGGTTTACATTTTTTGCATTTGGCACTGCAAAACACGTATGGTCGCCGCATGGTACATTACCAACCCGTTTGCAGTTGCCGTTTGCCTGTATAACTGTGCATTTAATTTATGGGCAGCAAATGCACTTAGAATATGATCACAACTAACATAGTCACTTTGAAAATCAACCAAGACAAAGAACAGAAACATACAGTTGGGTTCGTTAATTCCTTCAAAACAAAGGTAAATTGCAAAACAAATGCAGCTGTCTCAAAACAATCTCAGTACATCACCACATAGGCCTGCAGTTGTTGCAATTCGTTCTGCGAAACACACTCATGGTACAGTAATAGCTGGTTGGCAGTTGTTGTTTTTGTTGTGTAAAATTGTGCATTTATGGGCAATGAATGCATTGAGAATATAGTCACAACCACATTGTCACTGATAGTCCATCAAGAAAGGTACATAACCGAACAGTTTACAGTTGAATTAGTTACTGCAAAACAAGCAAGATACAGTACTACAAAGTTTACAAATGTTGAGTCATGATCGCAAACAATCTCAGTACATCACCACATGGTTTACTGTTGTTGCATTTGGGGCTGCAACACATGCATGGTACAGTACCAACCGGTTGGCATTTGTTATTTTTGCTTGTGTAAAACTGTGCATTTCTGGACAGTGAATGCAGTTAGAATATGGCCACAACTGCCAGAGTCGCGTATTCCATCAAATAAGATACAGAACCGGACAGTTTATAGTTGAGTTCTTTGTTGCAAAACAAGCACTGTACAGTACCAAATCATGAAACAGTTGAGTTCATGTTTGCACAACAATTTCAGCAGAGCACCGCATGGTTTACAGTTCTTGCATTTGGTAGTGCAAAACACGCACGGTAGAGTACCAACCGTTTGGCAGCTGTTTTCGTGTAAAAGTGTGCGTTTCTGTGCAGTAAATGCACTTAGAATATGCACACAACTGCCAGAGTCACTTTGTCCAGCAAGAGAGATACAGAACTGAACAGTTTATATTTACAACACCGGAATCCCTCTAGGATGCTGAATTCAGGAAATATTTTTTTTACGATTTTAATATGGTTTTGGATACGATTTGACGATATGAATTTGATATGCTTTGAATTTGGGGTTATGATTTCGATATGATTTTGATATGGTTTTGATACGATTTTGATACGATTTTGATACGATTTTGATATGATTTTGATACGGTTTTGATATGGTTCCAGCGAGTTGGCTTCAAAAAAGAAACAGAAACAGCGCAAGGATAGGTTTTTGGTCGATGTTTCGAGGATTTTTATGGTTTTGGTATGATTTTGATATGGTTTTGATGCGATTTTGATACGATTTTGATACGCTTTTGATACGATTTTGATACGGTTTTGGTATGATTTTGATCCGGTTTTTATATGGTTCCAGTGAGTTGGCTTCAAAAAAAGAAACAGAAACAGCCCAGGGACATGTTTTTGGTCGAATTTTCAATGGTTTTTAGGGTTTTGGTATGATTTTGATATGGTTTTGATACGATTTTGATACGATTTTGATATGATTTTGATATGGTTCCAGTGAGTTGGCTTCAAAAAAAGAAACAGAAACAGCCCAGGGACAGGTTTTTGGTCAATTTGTCGAAGGTTTTTGTGGTTTTGATATGATTTTGATACGATTTTGATACGCTTTTGATACGATTTTGATACGGTTTTGATACGATTTTGATATGGTTTTGATACGATTTTGCAATATTTTGGATATTGTTCCGATGGGTTGGCTTCAAATCACAAGTTTGACCCACATCAAGAATCATAACTGAAACCATATCAAAATCATAATTGAAACCATATCAAAATCATAACAGCAAAACCAAGCCATAAACAAATCATAACAACAAATCATATCTGAAACGTATCAAAATCATAAAAAAAAAATATTTTCAAAAACCTTCATCCTAGAGACTTCGGATGTGGTAAGTTTATATATAGTTGAGTTTGTTACTGCAAGACAAGCCGCGTACAATACCAACAAAACATAAACAAAATGCAACTGTTGAGTTCATGATCGCCGATCAATTTCAGTACGGTACCTCATGGTTTACAGTTGTTTTTGGTACTGCAGCAAAACACGCATGGTACAGCACCAACCGGTTTTGCACTTGCTGCTTTTGCCTGTATAACTGTGCGCTTATGGGCAGTAAATGCACTTAGAATATGGCCACACTACATAGTCACTGATAGTCCATCAAAGAAGGTACTGAACCAACAAGTTTACTGTTGAGTTTGTTATTGTAAACCATGTTCTTGTTGTGTTGATGTATTGGGTTTTGTTCGTTTTCCATTGAGATTTGCGAACCCATACATTGAGGTACTCATGCGGTAGCACAGTAGAGTACCATAGATTGATGGGGAAACCCAAAAAAAACCAGGAACGGGGATAGAGAGAGAGAGAGCGAGAGGAGGCTTGGAGGTAATGATATTTATTGGGAATCATTGGGATATATGGTCGGATGTAGCTAGTTTTTCCTTAAGACAGCATACTACCAAAATATTCTATGTGTACCCCCTGGATTTGAATATTCTAAGTGCTAACCACCCCGGGCTGAAGTATGTTAAAAATCAACATAATTCCATATTCTACAACTTTAATCTTTTTTCTAAATTCTAAGTGCCTGTCTTCTATTGTATATGGGTTATATGTGTGGGTTATTACCCACTTACAAATCGGATGCAGCCCCAGAGGGTTCGGTTCAGGAACAGGCAGCTCTAGCGGGCGCCATCCCCAAGTTGCAGATCATAGTGGAGCGGCAGCACTTTGGCCTGGAAAATGTCCGACTGGTTAACCCGCCAAAAATTCGGTGAATCAACTTGGAAGATGTTGATTCTTTTGAGGCCTCTTATGGAAATCCAACTAATTAATCTTACTCCCCTGATATGACATATCCCATCATATCCCATGAGGAACTCCGGTTTTGTTTTGCAAAAAAGTCTAATGACAGTAATTATTCATTTTAGTGCCATGGTTTCTTGGTATGCAATGTTAGGCGGACAGGATTATGCTAGGTAAATCCTGGTTTGATTCGTCGGTGGCCTTTCTTTTGGGCAGCATTTCATATGTCATATTTGCTATGTTTCCCATGTTTGGTCATACAGGCTGCTGCGTGTGTTTTTCAGGGATCATTGGTTGATGCCCCCATCAGTATCAATTCCTAGCAGTCTTAGCATTTCGTAGCCAGGTCAACATCACCATGTTTGTTGGTTCATTTCCACAAGCTTGATGGTGCATATTCCCATCACTTGTTGGCTCCGTCACCAAGTTTTCCTGGTTGTGCAGAGTTGTGCGTGGTTGTCCCCCATATACAGAAGTAACATGAAGTAACCCAACTATGTTGCCTCATATACCCCAATGTGAGGAGCACTCCAATTAGGTAAGGACCCCGGACGATGCGACCCTAATCCCCCAACAAATGGGAAGATGTGGGAAGTGTATGAGAGCCTGATGGGAATTGGGGTCCTAGTGCTGTATTGAAGGCCCCTCAAATCCCAGGCACCCCTTGAGGGAGCACGCCTTTGCCATGCTGTGCGATATGACCTGCACATCACAAGCGACGCGCAGCTTGCTCCGTGGCGGCGAAAGCCAAAGTATGGGTTCTAAAACAATGCTATTTGGTTGGACATTGTTTGGGTGGGTTAGCAGGCGAATTTCCAGCTATCAATGGGGTAACATATGGCCAAGAATGGCCAAGAGGAATCAAATGCCAGGCATCTAAGACTAGCGATTAGCGATGCTATGATTCCAATTTGCCCACAATTAGACTTACAAATGGACTGACCCCATGTTTCCCAGTTTAAAGAACCATGTGTGCCTCTTAAACCCTTGGGCAAACACACGGCACCGTCCCAGCTTGGGCGAGGCTCTGGAATCAAGGCTGTGCAGGTTTTTTAGTACGTAGTCTGGCGCAGCACGACATGCAGGCGCTGGGATTGGATGGGCAGCTTACGATTTATCCCATTGAAAATGAAGTTTTGCAGATCAGTAAACCACCAAGATACAAGCAAACTATCCCAGATGATCTAAAATAGCCACAACTTGATGAATATTGAGGAATGCTTTGTTGCCGTGGGTCCCTCTTGAATCAGCGTTGGATGTGTAGATATGCAGAAACGGAGTTTTTTATCGGCCACGGTGCAATTACTCCATAGCCTGGTGAATGAGTGCACTAAGCGAGGTCATCCCATTTCTGATTGAGCCACTGGGGAAATCGTGGCTGAAATTTCCGCAGATCCGCGATGGAAGCAGAGTGGGAATACCTCACTAACATTCGACATTGCAGCCCCATGAAAATTGCATAAATTGGAAGGTATACCCATACCCCATTATGATCCATTATTCAAACACACCCAACTTGAATATAATTGATTATATGTCCCATCATCTTCCAATGAAATGTCATAGTTCCATATAAATCTCATTCATAATATAAGAACTGATTTCCCAAATGTTTTTTACATCATCTCTTATTCACACCTTATGTCACCGGTCTCCGACTGCCAGGTCCCGGCCTTGGAAGCCCTGGTGGGTTGGTTCGCGGTGAAGGAGCACCGGGCCAATTGGTGTCAACGACTGGAGCAACTCCTGCTGAAGGGCCCGGACTTTTTCATGCGATTGCTGAACATCTTCAAGTGTCAGGACGCTGGGACGGATGAACTTTCTGTTGTGTCAAGCCTGAATGGATTGAATGGATTAATGAGCCCTGATTAGGGCGTAGTTGATTAATCTGGGGTTGAAACAATCCATATACTTATGTATTGTAAATCTAAATCTAACCTTGGCAAAAGGCAATAATTCATGATTGATCTCAGCCAACATGATCTTCATGATTTCTGGCCTTCGAAACAGTCTATGCTTGGCCGGCATCTGCTGCATATGTATGTACTTGGGCAGGCAGTGCTTGTCCTTCCCATCGGGATAGGATTGATGATGTGATTTGGAAGGGCTGCAGGGCTCAAAAATACCGTCAAATGGGTCGAGTTTCATCCAGCTGGAGAAAAAAAACGCCGCAGATGGAAGGGACTTGATGGGACCTTTGGGTAGGCCTTGCTTTGGTGGCTTCAAGGGAAATCTTAATGACAATAAAGGAACATGTAGAACATTGGTTATATACGATTATATAAAGTTGCAGAATACCCCAATAAAGATGAGAGTTGTTTTTTTTGCGCAGGGATCTATATACCCCCGACTGGCACAGATGCCGGTGTTGTTGCCCCAGGACAGCGCTATTTTTCTGAAGGTCTTGGATCCGTTACTGAAGTTGGTGACCTGCTCCCCTGCCGCTGGACACAGTTGCAGGAATTTATATGTTGGATTATATTGGATAGCGTGGTGGTGGCGTTGAGGCAACAGTCTGTCTCAGACATTAAAAAATGATCTAAACATGTTTGAAAAATGTCATTTGTGCAAGGGTTTAACTGTTAGTTTGAAAGGATTGAACTTTAAGACGAAAGGCCAAACTGTCTGATTTGTTTCTAGGCACTCCAAGACAGTTGAAGAGTTGCCGTCGTCACAGGGGACGCGCCTTGTTTCCCATCATTTTTGGGTCTTTGCATGTTCTAGGACGATGGTAAGTCAAAGTCATACATAGGCGCGGTTGTTCGGCGCGTGGCTTGGGGGGACCATTCTAGTTGCATCATTCTGCATTTTCGGGCACCGTCAGTCACACTAGGTCAGTTTCCCACACCGTTGGTTCACCTCCCAATTGCTGCAGTACACTGTGATCTATGCTGATCTACATTGCCATGTCGGTTGGTGGAATTGCCCGCTGTTGCCTAGTATACCACCACCAATTGCTTCTTCCGGCAACATGTGTTTCCGTTATATTCCCTTATTCACCTTATTCTAATAGCATCACAGGCGGTTTGGTTCGTTGCTTTACGTTGACTCCATATGACCTGTTTGGGGATCGATGTTTCCCAATGGGTTTCTTTGGCAGTTTTGGCTTGGTACAACCGCTACACGATCAGAGAATCACTGGGTTCATGTAAGGCTGTAAGGGAAACTTTGCTGGAAACAATGGCGTTTAGAGCCCATATTATCCCTTAAAACTAGTTCTGGGAGACAACCACAAGAGCAATATTTATATCATTCTATGCCTATACAACTCTATGTCTATGTTTGTGTGTAACTGTATCTCAGTATTTTCGTTGTGTGTGTAACATCTAAACAGATGTAAAACTTCTCTCTTTTTCTTCCTTCCGTCCTCTCCCTTTCTAACTAACGCAGGGGAGTGCGGCATGATTGTGGGACCGCACTCAACGAAGCTACCACAATCATGGGATACTGGGTTTGATCAACCCAGCGTACCTGCCAGTTCAATTTCTGTTTTGTCAATTTTCTGCAATGGGACGTGGCTAACCCAAGAACCACCATGCCGTTATTCAAACAATTTATTTGACATCTGGAATTACCGTTGGTCATTTACGATTAGTTCTGCTGCATCTGTCGTAGGATGCATCGTTAATTTCTTTGTTTCGTATCTAATCTGCATGTTTCAGGATTCAGTTCCTGCCGGATCATATAATGATCCATTCTTGTCTAGTGTGATTCCTATGGTGACTCCGACATGGTGCCATAGGGCCAATTGAGGCAACCCTGTTTAGGGTGAATGTCGACTGACCGGAATTCTGAATTCACACATTTTAACTTGGTAATTCGTTTAAGTAATGTGCAACAGTCAGCCTTTCGGTTTTGCACCTTTTTCGAGAATTCCCGCGGCTCCGGACGTCCCAGGGACCCCAGTGATTTGCTTCTCTCTCAGCGTGAGATCGTTCGGAACAACCAGAAACTCCTTTTTTGCCACTGCAGCAACTTTTGCAGCTACATTGCATCATGTCATGACACAAGTACCAGGCAGGCTCACGACTTTCAGGCGTGGTCTTTTTTCTTTTGATGGTTGTCTGGTGGGGTGAAACATGTTGTGCACCTAATTCGCTGGACTTTGGAAGCTGTTTTATGCCAATTGGGGCAAGACTTGACCACGGTCCCGGTGCAGGGAACAATCGCACGACCTTTAGGTTTAGGAACTGAATCCTGTTGTTTAACTAATTGTTTTGGTTTCCGTGTCTGTCACCAACTAGTCCCCCATTTGGTCCCTAATTTTCCCCGCGTGCCTCTCCGTAATGTGTCGTGGGGTTTAGGTGTGTGCGCTGTTTTGGTCAGGTCCGTTTCGCCGTGTAGGTTGGTTCCGGAGGTCCGTCTGTTCCCCTCCCCCCCCTGCGCTGTTTTTGGCCGTCTGCCCGTCGTGTGTCCGCTTTTTTCTTCCTCTTGCCTTTCAGGGTTGACCCGGCTCTGGCCGGGTGTGTGCGTGTGTGTAACATCTAAACAGATGTAAAACTTCTCTCTTTTTCTTCCTTCCGTCCTCTCCCTTTCTAACTAACGCAGGGGAGTGCGGCATGATTGTGGGACCGCACTCAACGAAGCTACCACAATCATGGGATACTGGGTCTGATCAACCCAGCGTACCTGCCAGTTCAATTTCTGTTTTGTTAATTTTCTGCAATGGGACGTGGCTAACCCAAGAACCACCATGCCGTTATTCAAACAGTTTATTTGACATCTGGAATTACCGTTGGTCATTTACGATTAGTTCTGCTGCATCTGTCGTAGGATGCATCGTTAATTTCTTTGTTTCGTATCTAATCTGCATGTTTCAGGATTCAGTTCCTGCCGGATCATATAATGATCCATTCTTGTCTAGTGTGATTCCTATGGTGACTCCGACATGGTGCCATAGGGCCAATTGAGGCAACCCTGTTTAGGGTGAATGTCGACTGACCGGAATTCTGAATTCACACATTTTAACTTGGTAATTCGTTTAAGTAATGTGCAACAGTCAGCCTTTCGGTTTTGCACCTTTTTCGAGAATTCCCGCGGCTCCGGACGTCCCAGGGACCCCAGTGATTTGCTTCTCTCTCAGCGTGAGATCGTTCGGAACAACCAGAAACTCCTTTTTTGCCACTGCAGCAACTTTTGCAGCTACATTGCATCATGTCATGACACAAGTACCAGGCAGGCTCACGACTTTCAGGCGTGGTCTTTTTCTTTTGATGGTTGTCTGGTGAGGTGAAACATGTTGTGCACCTAATTCGCTGGACTTTGGAAGCTGTTTTATGCCAATTGGGGCAAGACTTGACCACGGTCCCGGTGCAGGGAACAATCGCACGACCTTTAGGTTTAGGAACTGAATCCTGTTGTTTAACTAATTGTTTTGGTTTCCGTGTCTGTCACCAACTAGTCCCCCATTTGGTCCCTAATTTTCCCCGCGTGCCTCTCCGTAATGTGTCGTGGGGTTTAGGTGTGTGCGCTGTTTTGGTCAGGTCCGTTTCGCCGTGTAGGTTGGTTCCGGAGGTCCGTTTGTTCCCCTCCCCCCGCTGCGCTGTTTTTGGCCGTTTGCCCGTCGTGTGTCCGCTTTTTTCTTCCTCTTGCCTTTCAGGGTTGACCCGGCTCTGGCCGGGTGTGTGTGTGTGTGTGTAACATCTAAACAGATGTAAAACTTCTCTCTTTTTCTTCCTTCCGTCCTCTCCCTTTCTAACTAACGCAGGGGAGTGCGGCATGATTGTGGGATCGCACTCAACGAAGCTACCACAATCATGGGATACTGGGTCTGATCAACCCAGCGTACCTGCCAGTTCAATTTCTGTTTTGTCAATTTTCTGCAATGGGACGTGGCTAACCCAAGAACCACCATGCCGTTATTCAAACAATTTATTTGACATCTGGAATTACCGTTGGTCATTTACGATTAGTTCTGCTGCATTTGTCGTAGGATGCATCGTTAATTTCTTTGTTTCGTATCTAATCTGCATGTTTCAGGATTCAGTTCCTGCCGGATCATATAATGATCCATTCTTGTCTAGTGTGTGGTATATAATCCCCCAAAAAAGAATCAAACAGATAGATGAGTAATTCCTCACTATTTCAATAAGGATTTAGTTATTCTATGTTTTCAGGGGTTACTGAGTTCCTACAGGTAGCTTGACTGCTTTGCGCCCAGGAAACCAACGCGGCGCTGGCCAACAGCGACGAGTTCCTTGGGGAGCTCTTGCGGCGCTTGGAGACCGATGGCAACGATCCAGAGTCGAGTCACTGGGAGTCAGTGGGAAAACATGGTAAAACCACCAAAAGACCTCAAAAGATCATTGACATCAACACAATATCGATAAAAGGAGCTATTTATCATATATATTTATCCACCAGAAAAGTGTGATGATTGTGTTGTTTGAGTTGTTTGATTTTGTTTGACATCTGACAAAATGCCCTTAACCAATATATACCAATATGATAGAGAGAGAAATATAAGTGGTGATCCAGGCATATAACTGGCGATGCCACGAGATTTATGGGGATACAATAGGGATTAAACCAACAAAGGTGTGGGGATGAAAGTGGGAAGCATTGATTTAACTCCAAAAATTGAGATGAATTCAACCATTTCTACACATACATGTGCATATCATATACATATGCATTTAGTAGTGGGGTTGATTAAACCAAACAGGCTGTGGGGACATCACCGGATATCATGGGAAGACCAAGCATCGTGGAGAATTAGTTGCGTACGACAAAAAGGGTGGCGTATACAACCTAGAGCTTCATGCCTTTACGGCTTTTGTGGATATAAATAATATTAAACAATTATTAAACCAGCAACATGATTTGGGTTTGTCTCAATATAGATATGCCCCCAGATGCCAAACTTAAAGTAGAAAAGATTTAAAATTATATAGGATAAACCATTGGAATTGGGAACTCCTTTTCATTCAGACATACGCATGTGTAGCACCACAGAGATGGATTTTATAGACTACATTAACCTTACGTTTTCCAGGCGTTCAATGTCGCTATGTTGCAGATTGTCACAGGTTTGGAACTGCCTCTGTGCCTATCACATTTCTATCATTGTCTATCCCTGGGACGATATTTTTTCCGGCTTGAAACGCTATAGCAACACCTGGCAGCAGTGAATTGAAATCCTACAGAAATTGTCACAGTCGTCCTGGCTTTAAATCCTATAAATAGATATAAATAGTCGTTGCTGAAGTGGCCGAAATATATATGCAAAAAATATCATAAATGGTGCTTGATGCATCCCCAAAGGTTACTGCTTCAAGCAGCATCTTTGCAGATGTCCATATAAAATCGCACCTTTAACGCCATAGGTTTCTGGGTGATATCCCCCAGGGGGAAGGCAAGTAATCCATTTATTCTTCCAATTGCTTGACATATGTGTTTTTCCCTATTGAAAATCCCATGAAACTCCCATGTGTTCTATAGAAATTCATATGTGTTTTTCCCAGGCAAAAACCAGTTCAACTCTTTGAACACCGCCTTCTCTCCGGACGACTTGGCTCAAGTTGCAGCCCGAGCTCCTTGGAGAAACTGCGATTTCTGGTGGTTTTATGGTGTGTGTTTAAGGACTTTAAAGAAATGGCTTGGAATTCTTAGAAACTTTGATGAGTTAGATTTTATTCAGATTTGGTTTTGTTAACCATGTGTTCTGATTGAATTATATTAAATTGACCTTGTGATGGTTTGATGATGATGATGATGATGATGATGGCAAGATATTGAACTGCATTGTAAGTGAGTTAGAAACCCAGCTGATGAGCTGAACCCAAATGGCTGGTTACCGGTGTTTGATGGTATTGGCTTTACCACATTAGGGAAAATGATGATCAACCATGATTACTCATGATTTTTGGGGGTGCCCATATATCATCCACATATACCTGGGCCGCTGGAGATATTCCATGTACAACTGGATTATAACATGCTCGTCTCCCTTTATTACTACTAGGGATGGCTTATTGTTATCCCCTCTTGATATTACAGAACATTGTTGTGTGCATCTCCGTTATCTCCAGCGTACAGTCATCATCTATTATCCCCAATAGTGTTGCTTACCCTCCCGTCAACTAACATAGAAACGGAAAATCCGCCAGTTTTCATAGCTAAATCAGTGTAAATCATCCAATGATGGGCAAGTTTTCATAGCAAACTCTTCAATTACCGGAGGGTACATATGGTTGTTATTTTAAGATATTTTTACCACGTCACGGGGAACGGAACCATTGGAAAACTCCCAGGATTTTAGCATCACCAGGTGGGCGAGCCGGTGCGGCGCTTGATCAGCGCCCAGCCCGACACGGACGACGCTGTGCGGGCGCGGCAGTCCTTGCTGCGGCTGCTGATGCAGCTGTGCCAACACCTCAGCAAGGTGCGGAAGCGGGCTTTCCACAAGGGGACTGAAGCCATGGAACTGGGAAAATCTGAGACATCTTTGGAAGACTGGTGCTTCAAACTTTAAATCAATGGAAACTAAAGATTTAAATAAAAAATTGGGGTTGAACATGAACCCAGAAACCGCGAATTTTTCGGTGGATTCAATGGGATTTAATGGGATGATGAAGCTGGGTCTACAGTGTACAGCTGGGATTTCAAGGAAAATCAACCAACGAGGTGCGGGAAGCAGATTGTTTGATTCACCAATGGACGTGTTTCAGAATGGCAGTATTTCCAGCAGTCCAGGTGTTTTAGCCTGTCTTGGCTGCTGGAACAACTACTTTGGATCTGGATAGGCTGCAGCTATTCAAGTTAATTGCAAATATATATATATATATATTATTATATATTATATAATATATATTATATATTATATAATATATATTATATATTATATATAATATATAATATATAATATAATATATATATATATATATTATATATATTATATTATATATTATATTTTACATATTACATATTACATATTACATATTATATTGTACTATATTATATTATATGAAATATACTATACTATACTATATTCTATTCTATTATATTATATTATACTATATCATATTATATTATATATATTTGTATATGTATAATGTATATGTATATGTATATGTTGTTAATCTCAAACCCTTTGAGATGCCAAATGAAGTCCTGTGATTCCGCCAAGGATCCCTGTCCTAGGTCTCTTTTATTCTGCCGCGCCTTGTGACTCCTCGAACCCTCCCTCCACTGCGGTGGACGGCGAGAGAAAAGGGACCAATATGGAAAGACAACTTGGGAGTTTCACACACCCTCTTTTTGACCAAAAATTCTTTCACTTTTCTCCATACTGGTCTCTTAAGAAGAAAGACGTGGATCCCGTCCAAAGAAAACCGGTACGTTGATAAGCATGTGTGCCAACCCAGAAATCAGTTTCAGTCCTATTCTTCCCCAAACAAGTGACTCTACGGGAACTCAGATCACGAATGTCAACTGGACACTCAACCCCAATAGGCGTGAATTTGTTCTCTCTGGGTTTTCGATGCACACGAATCAGCTCACCATTGGTACCCCATTTCCAAAAGTCGTGCATTGACGAAGATATAGTATCCGCTGAAGCGATGTTACAGGAACTTGAATTTTCCGGAGCTTCTCCAGATGCTTGTTGCTTGACCCATTCTAAACGCTGGCGCCTATCCAAACGATCCCTCAAAACATGCCCCTCATCTCTCAAAACATACTTTCCCGACCTCAAACACTGTCGAAGCACCTGTGAGTCCATGGTTTTCGTAAGGCAGTCCGCCAACATGGCTTGTGACGCTACCCATCTCACCTTGCAGTTTTCTCGCAATCTCTCCCGAATCAGCAAACACTCTATTGTCGTACGGTGTTCAGCACACTGTGGTAGTGCAGTTCGTGTCAGAAGGTCATAGGCTGATTTACAATCTGTAACCAAAGCTGCAGGTGTTTCTTGTGGTAGCAGCTTCTCTGGATGTGTCCACTCACATTTTGGATTTTGTGTCCAAGCCCAGAGGATTCTCAGCCACATGAGCCGGTCAACGGTGTTACTGAGAGCAGCTGCCTCAGCACCTAGGGTACTTCTGACTACCCGTGGAACACGCTTGCTTGTCCAAGCCACTGGTGCTACAATTGATCTTTTGTTTTCCAACAACTCCGGTGTTGTCACAAAAATAAGGGTACCCTGATGAGCACTATGTTGCTTGTTGGACATGAAAGAGGCATCAGAAAAAGCACAAAAAGTGACACTTCCAGGACAAATAGGCAAAACCATCAAAGAAACAGGATTTTGTTTTGCTTCTGCAAGCACCTTATTGGCAGTGACCAGATCGGAAATCGTGGCTCGGTTGATGGCTGACTGTAGCTCACCCACCTTTGCCGCCAAATCTGGCCGAGTGTGGACGGCCGCGTATTGGAGGGCGCCGACAATCTCAGTGAGCTTTTCTCGGTCTCATTAAGGGACGCTGTCAACTGGGATCGACGACCTTTGTCGATGGTTACAGGGGAAATCTTCTCCACATAGGAAATCTGATCATACTCGATGCTGAAATCATCCCACTGCTTGAAGTTTATCCCAGTATACTTAAATTCCCGTCTCTCAAAAGCTCCAAACTTGAACCGGGCCTCCACTCTTTTCAGCATATTGTGAAAGACATGATCTCCACCAGCAATGCCATCATCTACGTGGATGCCCAAACAGCCATGACACTTCAATTGGCCACTTGGAAGCTCTGAGTACAGACCGAAGACGCAAGGATCCAAAGGACACTGCATGCACCCTTGACGAATCAATTCATCCCTGAATTCACAAAACCAAAGATATGGAGCATCAATCCTACCATAGGCTCCACCGTCCAATGCACACTGGTCGGTGCCAGACATTTGAAGGGCTTCCTTGAGTTCAGGTGGTGCATGGATTCCTAAGGTGCGTCCATCTCCTTTTCCATGTAAGAATGCCGTGCTAATGTCGAATGACAACAGTTCCCAGCCATGACTTGCCACATTTTGTAAAACAGTCATCCTACCATCCTTTGTCAAAGTAGGTGCATCGTTTGTCACGACATCAATACCAGGGTCCTCAAAACCGATAATGACCAAAGGAGCTTTGGCTTTCAAGCCCTGGCTGGAAAGTTCACCTGGATTTTCATTTCCGGAAGCAGGTTTCCAGTTTAAGATCCATCGACATCGCATCAGGGCATTTTCAGGGATTCTACCCTTACTCACCTTTCTGACAGTCTTGTGGTGAAGCCATGCACGGATCTCTTTGTCTTTTGCCGCTGCAAACAATCTCTGATCATGTTCCCCCAAATCCTTCAGTTTGACTTCTACTCTTTTCTTTCTTTGTTCCGTGGCCAAAAGAGCAACTTCATCCCAGGTACAGGTTGTATCTGAAAACACATCCCATTCAAGGTTACCGGAATTCCCAAATTCAGAACCAGGGGTAATGTCAATCTCCCAGACTTGATTCCCCAAACCACTAGGACAATCAATACAATCCCCAAACAATGCATCCCCCTCTGAAAGCTCTCCTTCTAAGGGTTCCGGTACCGGGACATGTAGACCCCCAGTTTCAGACGAGGGTACCGCTTCCACATCACCGGAGTGAACACTGGGCGCCTGCTCTGGTTCAGGAAGGCTGTCACTTTCAGTATTGTCTCCACACAAAGGACCCTCCTCGACCACATCAGAGAGATCAGGTAAGTCATCCCCTAAATCAAAGAAGTCCTGATAACCTGCCTTCTTCAACCATTCCGCCGGGGTTACCTTGTTTTCATCCAAATCTTGGACAGACTTCCATTCCCGAAATGATGCTGGCCGCAATTGCTCCGGGCTTGCCCGAATTAATTTATTTGCATGAGTAACCCAAACCACTTTGTGACCTTCAACCATGGCTACCCTTGCAGGTCCGTGCCAACGTCCCCTTTCCCGTCTCATGTTACCCCCCTTTCTCTTCCAGTACAAAACCCAATCCCCAATTTCATAAGGGTCTCTAAGGGGGCGACTTCGACGCAGCAATGCCCTACGCAAACTACTGCAGTTATCGGCCTCAACAAACGCCTGACGGGCTGAGGTTCGAAGGCGCAGTGCCTCTCGAAATTTTTCGCCCTCCGTGCACTCGCTTTCAGCAAGTGCATGGCTGGCAATTTCCCGGTCGGAGCAAACAGATGCTGGAAGACGGCGAGCGACACCTAATACAGCCTGTTCGGGTGTGAATCCCTGTACACGAGACATCGCATTTTTGGCATTGAAGACTTGTCTCAAAGCAGCCTGAAAACACTCATTGTCCAAAATTGGCTTCTCAGAGTTCATACGGTCCAACATCCTTTTCACAACAGAACCATGTGCTTCCACCCGTCCCAATTGCCAATGCGAATCTGTCGCCGACATTTTCAGTTTGATATCTTCTTCCTGCATCTTTGCTATCCACCGATCTCCAGTATATTCTTTGGCCGGATCTAGGTATACCTCTTTGGGGGGTCCTGCCCATGACAACCAAACATTCTCAAAACATCGAACCTGTGAATCAGCATCCTCAAAACAATGACTCCCCAAATGAAACAAAGTTCCCTCATCCAGAAAATGAAGAAAAGCAAACTCTTTTCCAACATCATTTTTCCAGTAGGCTACATCTAGTCCGACCACATCATTGAAATTCAAATTGGAATGGATGGCAGCTGGTCTTGACAAAGCGTAACCCTTGCTGTCTTCGCAACACGCATCACACTGGAAATCAAATGCGCCAGCTACGATCTTCGGATCGGCATGGGTGTCCTTAAGGAACTTGCAGAAACGGACTGGATCAGGGTGTCCCATACGATGATGAACCCTGCGAATCCACTCTCTTTCATCCTTTTCCAAACCGAGAAAATGGGGCCCATGTACAGCTACCTTTTTCGGGGGAAAACCTTCAGAATACTCCCCAACTTCCTTCCCCTCCAAACCTTTCTCTGTGAAAGTGGAAACACTTGGCTCATCCTTCTTGAACCGTTTCTCCACGTCCATGTCTGAGTCAGACACTTCTCTTTTCCGGGAACCTGAAGAAGAAGTGACTTGTGAACCAGCCATTGACGCCGTCGGAGGTTTTTCACTGGGCACCGCAGCTGCAGACCGGGAACTGGATTCCCAAACATCCCCAAAAACCGTCACACACAACTTGGCTGGTTTTGACTTCAAAGTCCTTCGAGTTTTGGGAAGCTCCAACCAACTTTCGGGTTTGCCTAGTTCCATTACTTTTCCAGTATGCCGGTGCAAAATGATGGTGTGCCGCAGTGGAATTTCCGACTCTGAAATTTGAGTCTTTGGCAAACGAAATCGATCAGTACCTCTACATACCTCAGCTGCCTTGACATCGATAGTGGTGAGAGTTGACTTAATGTCTTGGAAAAGTTTCTCAGCAGGTTCCAAAACAACAGTTCCGGCCCGAGGGGCCCGCTGTTCAATGCTCTTAAAAATTTCTTTCCAACGTTTCTCCCAAGACAACTTGCGTGACCCGTCTTCGGATGGAACAGCAGGAGAAGAAACCTTGACTTCCTCCTTGGAAAGTCTTCTCCGACGGGCACTCACCTCTGCGGCAAGGACAGCATGCTCTCCGAATTTTTGACAGTCGTCAATACACAGCTCGGCAATTTCCACAGGCAAATCACCAAAATCACGACTCCACAACAAATACCAAACCACATTTCGTGCAAAACCATTTGAATACCGAGCTGCATATTCCGACAAATTGATCCAGCGACCAAGATACTTGATTTTGCCTTCAATCGGCTGATGAGTGTGCCTTTGATTGCAGTACCGAGCGTCCAAACAGTTGTGGAGCTCACGTGAAGTTGTTCTGACTTGCGTTCTTTTTCTGAGAAAATTATTCCCCAGAGGAACCTTCAGCTTCCCCACTTCACACATGTCAAAAACACTTTTGAGGGTACCCTTTGCTACGTTTTCCATTTCTGGTTGATCAAAAGCAATAGAACCCTGAGGTTGTTCCATGTGAAAATGGTTCCCATTCAGAACTTGATAGTTATATACTTCATCGCACAATTTTAAGTGCAACCTTTGCTCTTCACGGTCATCCAAAACCTTTTGACAGGTAGTTGAACTTCGGCACAAATTCAGTCGACTGAAGTTTCCCCATGGGCCGCATTCGGGAGCCATCCAAACATCACGTGGACATTCACGTTCCAGGAGTTCCCACAGAACGCGTTGTCCTTCAGCTGT